TTTTTTTTTGGTTTTTTTTTTTTTTTTTTTTTTTTTTTTTTTTTTTTTTTTTTTTTTTTTTGAAAAATAAAACGTAATTTTGTGACTTTTTTGTCTGAACGAGAGCAATGAAGAATGACATCAGGACGCGACATTAATGCACTCCAGTTGAATTTAAATGTAATTTTATACCGAAAATGACGAAATTTGTATTGAATACTCGTTATGTTGAATAATATTTTTATTATTAATCTGAAAATAAATATCGTTTTGTGTAAATCGACTGTTTGTAATATTTATGATACCGACAATCTCGAGTAAACAGATAACGTTGAATTGCGATTGAAAGAGTGGGAGGGGAAGGGGGAATAATAAACCAACTCGGGTGATAGAGTAACTGCCAGTTACGTTGTAGATTTCCCAACGAAAACAAGAATGCACGCGGTTCTTCGGTCATCTTGTAAAACTAAATATCCACGTTTTCAATGGATAGATAATCGTCCGGTTTTGAGGTGTACGAATTGTCGATTAAAAATCTCTACGCGATTGTATCACAGTGAAAATGGCGTCTATGGATACAGACCGAGGCCACAAAGACATTTTGAAGGTACTTCGAACATAATATTTTTGAAACAATATTGACAAACAGTGAAAAAAAAAAACAATCAAAATTCTACTAACGCTCTGATAAAAATTTAAAACTCCACATTGATATTTATTTGTGATACGTTCGAGCAAACCAACGAATAATTTGAATTTGAAAACTAACAATTTTTCCCGCGTGGCGTCGCTAGTGCATTTTAATACGTTTCGTAAATGCATCTTCAAATTGAGATAAAAACGTGCATATTTCTACGAAACAAATCATTCTTACCTCGAATTTATCTATAGATCTTGTTACCCATGTCTTCAGGATGAGAGCGGCACTTTAAATTACACTAATCACTGTGTTTTAACCGCGAAATGCGAAACTAAAACTTCGAACACGCGCAACACTTTGATTCCCCGCTTTCTCCAAAGCGACTGCCGAAGAATTGCGCAAGAAGCTCTTAACTACGCGCGTATTGCGCATGCGCAACGAATTTGAAATTGAAATTTCCCATTTCCTTTTTTCAAAAACAATACGAACACAATGACAATCCAACATACATTAATTCTATTTTTAAATAATAAAAATATTCGATTTTGCATGTTATTCATTTGAATTCATATAATAGACTTTCAAATAAATTTATTATGCGTTTAATCACTTGCTTCAACATTAAGATATTTATTGCAATACTGGTATTATTCAAAGTAATTTTAAAATTATATTAAAGTGATTGAATTGTAATTGGTATGAAAAGATTTAGCATGGTAATCTAAAGATAACAAGAAACGCAACTTGGAATATTTTTATTACGCAAGAGCCGATAAAATTTCACGATAGCATAAAAATAATTTAATACTGAGATAAAATAAATAAAAATAAATATTAATCGCTTCTTTTTTTCGTCTTCTTAGTTCCAAAAGATTACCTGGATATACGATCGAAAAACAGCAATTTCTATAGATTGGTTAGCGCTTATAGAGAATATGGTCATAAACAAGCTGACATCAATCCTGTATCAACTAAAAAGCCAAAACCACTGGTAGAATTGGAACCAGAGAGATTTGGTTTAAATTTGAGCGACAAAGTTTCATTTAGAGGGATCTTATCATTGGGGAAAGATGAAGGAACTGTAGAAGAGGCGTTGAAATTTTTGAATGAGACATACACTGGATCTATAGCAGTAGAATTTAATTATTTAGAGGTAATAATCCATTGAACAAGTTTAAAGCTATCTTCAATTTGAAGTAAGTCGAATATTTATTAGCTTATTTCTTTGTAGAAGATCTGAATAAGTACCTGATTTCTATTACTGTCTACACAGACTGAGGAAGAGAGAGAATGGTTCGCAGAAACTGTGGAAAGAACTGTAATGGATCCTGTGACGGACGAAACGAAAGTAGCCATCGCGGCGAAAATGTTGAAGAGTCAAACTTTCGATCAATTCTTGGCCATCAAATTCGTAAACTTCAAAAGATACAGTGGCGAGGGTGCTGAGAGCATGATGGCCTTTTATCATGAATTTTTTAAACTGTGTGCCAATGGTAAATAAAACTGTATTTGAAAACTATTAGACGAACCATCTGCTCAAGATGAAATTTAAATATACTGAATTAAATTAAATTGCAGATGATTTAAAATATATCGTGATTGGCATGGCCCATCGAGGTCGTCTAAATTTCCTCACAGGAGTGCTGAATTTCCCTCCAGAAAAATTATTTCGACAGTTACGAGGGTATTCTGAATTTCCGGACGATGTGAACGCAACTGGCGACGTGATCAGTCATTTTGTATCTTCTACAAATCTTAACGTCGATCGAAAAAATCTCCATGTTACGGTATTGCGAAACCCTTCGCATCTGGAAGCTGTGAATCCTGTTTCGATGGGAAAAACTCGAGGAATGATGCAAGCATTTAAAGACGGAGCATATAGCGAAGACATAAACGCTCAATGGAGTGATAAAGTGTTGAATATTCAAGTATAGAATTTAAAACTTAATCACACAAGATTTAAATTGGCATTTGATATAAATTTATGTGTTAAACTTCTTCTAATTTCTATCCTAGATTCATGGAGATGCATCATACGCTGCTCAAGGAGTTGATCAAGAATGTCTAGCGTTATCCGCAGTTCCTCACTTTGAGATTGGTGGAACAGTTCACTTGGTAATCAATAATCAATTAGGCTTCACGACTCCGGCTTCCAGAGGCAGATCGTCGAGATATTGTACGGATCTAGCCAAAATGATCTCTGCTCCGGTGATTCACATAAACGGGGATGATCCTGAGGTGCATAAGACAATTTCTCTTTATAAAATCAAATTTTCTAATAAATTGTGAAATATTCTAGATGGTTGTCCGAGCTGCTAGGATAGCGTTCAAGTATCAACGAAAATTTAGAAAGGACGTTTTTCTGGATTTGAATTGCTTCAGAAGATGGGGCCACAATGAGCTAGATGATCCCGTTTTTACAAATCCTGTCATTTACAAAATTATACACAGCCGTCCGTGAGTATTTTTCAATTGTAACAGTAGAATATCTTTCTTTAAAACTATTTTATTTCTAACTAGATCGGTGCCAGATCGATATTTGGACAAACTGGTGAAGAATAACATTCTTTCAATGGAGGAAGCCAAAAATATCATCGAAGATCATAAAGCCAAGCTGAACCAAGGTTTAAACGAAGCGGATAATTATATTCCAGAGCCTTCATACTTTGCAGGCTTGTGGAGCGGAATGCAGCAAGCTGATGCGAGAGTGACACAGTGGGACACGGGAGTTGATTTAAGCCTATTGAGGTTCATTGCCGAAAAGAGCGTTCACATTGACGATGACTCGGTGAGAAGGCATGTCATGCGAGAAATGCTGTTCATTTTCCCTAACTAATTCAGTGTACTATTTTCTCATACGACAGATAATTCATCCTAAATTAATGAAAAGTCACATTCAATCTCGGCTAAACAAAATAGCGAATGGTGAACACTTAGACTGGGCCACTGCCGAAGCCTTGGCAATTGGAACTTTATTATATCAAGGATATAATGTAAGAATAAGCGGACAAGATATAGGTCGTGGAACGTTTTCCCATAGACACGCCATGCTTATTGATCAATCTACTGGAGGTATTTACAAAATAATTCTAATTACAAATTACTATGTTATCATTAAATAAAATTTTGTCATCAATCATGATCCTAGAGATGCATATTCCATTGAATTCGATGATCGATGGACAAACAGGAAAATTAGAGTTAGCTAACAGTATTTTGTCAGAAGAAGCGGTTCTGGGGTATGAATATGGGATGAGTATAGCTGTACCAACTACTTTGACAATATGGGAAGCACAATTTGGAGATTTCTTTAATGGGGCACAGATCATGATTGACACTTTTGTAAACAGCAGTGAAGCAAAATGGATGTTAAGCAGTGGTTTAACGATACTTTTGCCACATGGCTATGACGGTGCTGGTCCTGAACATAGTTCCTGCAGACTTGAGAGGTTTTTACAGCTTACAGACAGCAATGAAGATAAACCAGATGGTGATGATGTTAATATGTACGTAACGAACCCCACGACACCGGCTCAGTACTTTCATCTATTGAGAAGACAAGTAAGAGTCTTGTTGTAATAGATTTTTTGTTATATTTTTAATACATTATAAATTGTCTACATCTCTGTTAGATGATAAGAAATTTTCGAAAACCCTTAATAGTGGTGGCTCCAAAAATATTGCTGCGTCATATCGCAGCGACTTCACCGATAACGGATATGCAATCACAAACTACATTTAAAAGCGTTATAGGTATGTTGGATAGGCAACAGATGACATCTCCCCTCCCCCCTCTCTCTAATCATATTTAATTTTAAATGAAATAATCTAACAGGAGATGAAAAAATAGAAGAATCTAAAGTGACTAAAGTGATCCTCGTGAGCGGCAAACATTACTACGCTCTTGATAATTTCAGAGAAAGTACAGATCAGAAAAATGTAGCAATTATTAGAGTTGAAAATCTATGTCCTTTTCCAATACAAGAATTATTGCAAGAAATCGATAAATATAAATATGCAAAAAGTAAGTTATAGAAAGTAAATATTTAACTATATTACGAAATATAAATATAAATATTTCCTTAAGCTTTCATATGGAGTCAAGAAGAACCGCAAAATATGGGAGCATGGAGTTTTATCAAGCCTCGTTTTGAAAATTTATGTGGCAGAGTAGTAAGTTAATAATTTATATAATAGTTGAAATATTTGCAAAAAGTAAAATTGTAACTTACAGATAAAATACAGTGGTCGTAAACCCATGGCTGCAGCAGCTGTAGGTGCAGGCAAATTACATCAACAGCAAGCTCAGGAAGTGACCGTAAGACCCTTTAATATGAAATAAATTTTATATTGTATTGTATATTTTACTCTGTTTTATTTGTACACATGATTTAACTGCCAAAACTCACATTTATATTTGCATAACATTATTATATATTATATGAAGAAATAAATTATTTACATATCATTGAGCGGATGTTATTGTAATGCATTATTATTATCAATAAAATATATTCACGGCATAAATATTAATTTCTGAAAAATCACACATTCAAAAATTATACTTTTTAGCATTTAATATGCTCTTCTATAAAAAAAATGATGATATAGATGATACAGGTAAAAGCAGGGATTTTTTATATCTTTAACATCCTAAACAATGTCATTACAATTTCTTTGAAGCAAAATATCGTTTATCTGTATTTGTTCATTCTTCTTCTAAAAGAAGTAGCAGCAAAATCCCAAGTAATCCAGAAAGCTAGATTTTTTTGTAATAATTAGATTAGAAGAATTAATCTTTGCTAGTTTCTGCATTAGTTTCTGCATTAGTTTCTGCACTTAAACGTTCGTGTTCTTTTTTTATGAGCTCTTTCAACTCATCCTGAAAAAAAGATAGATTTAGATAAGCTATATTTCACAGTTTAAAATTTCATACTAAACATATAATTTAAAAATGAAACGTACACCCCAGCCCAATTTTTCTGCTAATAATTGACAACCAGTATCACAATCGCCTAACCAAGCAACATCACGACCACCGTGAGAACTTCGTGTATCAAAGATCAAACCGTGTCGCAATCCTAGAAGTCGCGACAAACGGTCTTGCATACCAACTTTTTCTTTATTGATAAGTAAGCGCGGACAATTAGGTCGGACCCTTCAAAAAAATTATAGTTAGATGTACGCACATCATTAATTGCATGTAAAAATTGAGTGAAATGGAAACAATATGATGTTTACAACTAATACATACCTATCCACTAAAGACGCAAAAGGCTGAACAACCAAACTTGATCCCATAATTATCAAAAGATCTGCTTGTGCAAAATCTCGATCAGCAAGAAAATGGAAGCGTTCAGGTAACATTTCTCCGAAAAACACTATATCAGGTTTTACTACACCTTCATTACATTCTTCACATTTTGGTATAACACCTTCCATAATTTTTTCTAAAAACAGGTGTTGGAAACTGAGTTTTGAGATATGTATATAATTACAATAATTGTGATCTTACTGTAACATTAGACAGAAACCTATATAAAGTGAAAAAGCTGTACCTTTCATCCATGAAAGAGTATATGGTGCTCTACATTTGAGACATCGACCAGTATGAAATGTACCATGAGCTTCTACCAATTTTTCAGGAGGTAAACCAGCCATTCTTTCTAATGTATCAATATTTTGAGTGTAATGTCTCAAAAGTAATCCCTTCTCCCATAAAAGACGAATAAAATAATGGCATGGTGTAGGCTTGAAACCTTCAGGTAACAATTCTCTTGCAAGCGTAAAAAATGGCTCAGGATTCTCCATAAAGAAATCTAATTCAAAAATAGCTTGGGGATGAGGTAGATTATATTTCTCTAAATTATGATAAAGACCACTTGATGGTGATCGAAAGTCAGGAATTCCTGCAGCTGGAAAATAAAAAAATCTAATAAGCATTTTGTGCAATATATCTATTCAAGATTGGAAATATTTTTCAAAACATACATGTGGAGATACCAGCTCCAGCCATAGTAATGATTTTACAGTTTCCATTTTCTTTTATATAATCTACCACTCCATCTATGCTAAGTTCACGGAGGACTTTCTGCTGTGACTGTTCATCATAATTTGATGAATCAGAAAGTCTCAACATTTGTGCTAAATATTTACGTATTTTCTCCATGTCAGAATGTTCTACCTCTTCTTGTTCTGAAGAACTATTTGCTGCCTCTTCATTTGATTTCTTCTCTAATACAAAAAGAAAAAAGATGAATAACAATTATAGCAATATAGTAGCACTACGAATAAATGTAACGTTTGTTAGCAAGACAATTTAACAAATATAGGTGAACCATGAATTTCCAATTTTCATCACATGATCATACATCACGACTGTCTACTTCCTATTAGCTTTCAGAAATGTAACATGCATTGTTAACTGAGTAAAGTAATGAAATAACAATAAACTTAATATAATCTCGAATAATTCATTTAAAAAAATAAATACATTGTACTGACTCCAATAAAAATACATAAATACAGATTTTCGCCAGAGGTGTTGGACGAATAATTGCCGCTGTCGGCTGATTAAAGGAAAAATGATTTGCGGTAACATTTTGACCCGCTGCAGACATCGTGATGTTACGACTATAGTATAACTCGATAAAGATATATGTCATTTAACAGTTACCTAAAATTTTACGGTAATGTGAAAATTTAAATATTCTGAGACTGTGACAATCAGTGTAGAACAATAACTCTTCTTAATTCATTTTACCATTTTATTTAATTAAGCTTTATCCAAGCTCTCATAGGTGACAGTTAACCTCTATCGTTATCATATTCACTGCTTTATGATAACGATTCATATTAGATGAATTAATGTTACAATAAATACATAGAAAAATTAAAAAGTATTATAATAACAAAAAAGTTGAGTTCATTATTTCATAATATTTTGATATTTTGATATACAAGGTTAATAGTTTCAACCGACAAATTGTCCTTAACTTTTATTTTTGAAAAAAATGTGTATATCGAAACAGAAAATTTAGTCTTTTGAATTTTGTGCCTACAATTTAAAAAACGATTTAACCGATATAAAAAATGAATTCTACTTTGGTGGACAAATGACAATTCGAAAACGTTACCCTTTTCTGCGTCATCATTATGTTCGGACATGTTTTCAAGTTTGTATAACTTCCTCAACTGTAATTTTAAGTGAAATTGTTCGATATCGTTGTCATTAAAAAAGTAATATTATTTATATATTCACTTGCATATACGTTTAAAATTGATTGTCGCGAACAACTCGTATTCGACTAAACATGGAGAGACAATGTTTTAGGGTTTTATATTTTGTTTCTCTATTATATATCAAATAATACTCTTGAGAATTGTGTTACTCTTAAGCAGTATAAATGATATGAATAATATAAAATATTCTTTTTTTGAAGCTAGTTCAAATGATGTTTATCATTTAATTGACAAAGTTTATGTAATGGTAAAATAAGCACGGTGACAACGCGGATAACCTTTCTAACTCGTAAGTTAAAGATTGAATATTTTGAAACTTTTTAATAAATTATATTGATATTCTTTTATAGTGTTATAATGTACATACTTTATAAATAATATTTTACAACAAAAACATTATTCTTTATATTACAATGTTTATTTTCACCACAGATATCATAAAATGTTAATAAAATATATTAAAACTTCATTTATATTAATGAGATTTCTTGGATGTTTCACCTCCTATAATTTTACGTCTTTGAGCAAACATGTGTAAATATAAACGTGGAAAGACTGCAATACAAAGAAAAGAAATTAGTTTTTGACCAATACATACAACAATAAAGTTCTAAAAAACTTACGGGAAATGTATGATAGCATAATAGCTACAAGAACACAATAGTAACTAAAGATGAAATTCCATAAGTTAGGAAGTCTGTAACTCCAGAAATCTGGATGAGAACTTGCATAATTTACAGCTGAATATAAACATAATAATTCTCCAGTTATACCTATTGGATATAATGCAATAAATAATGTGTACCTGTAACAATTAAAATATTTCAATTTTATATATTGAAATATAGATATGCTCATATAGGAAAGCTTTATATATATAATATAAATTGTTAAATTACATACCTTAACCATGTAAGGAAATAAGGAACAAAATTATTGAGATTCAAATAATAAAATGAATATCTAATTATTTCTGTTATTGACCATGCAAAGATGGCTAATGGAACACCAAAAGATGATGCTGCATAACTATCTGGAGTGGCTAATAGTACTCCACTTACAACTATAATACGACTAAACACTTGAACAGTTGTAATTACAGGATTTGATTTAACTAAACCAGTCACAGCATGGAATATCTGTAATAATAATAGTTAATTTTTTATGAACAAAATCAAACTTAATATTAATGTTTACCTCCAAAAGAGCAGCATGTTGAAAGATAATAACAGGCCATTTAACATTGTACCATAGAGTTGCTTTTGATATAGAAGAGTAATCATTTACCATAAACTTATAAAATATGTAACTCCAGCTGCAAGTGCATATAAATTTGTAAGTATTTGCAAGAATGTTTTTTATAATGTTTATTTTTTATTATTAACATTAAGTACATCTTTTAATAAAAATTGAATTATTAAAAATTAACGCAGAGAATACAGAGATTTCAGTCAATAAAATTTGAAAACAATAGCGATAAAATGTTATATTATATCTAATTATTTTATAACTATAGTAATATCATTTCATAATACTTACCCAAGAACTTGTAGCAAATTATAAGTTTTTAAATATAATAGCCCGATATTATTTGATTTCTTTGATTTCATATTTACGTTCTTTAATTCAGAATGATTTTATTTACTTATAACAATGTATATATTTTACAAGAGTAAATAAATTATATTTTCGTATGCTTTTTAAGTTTATAATCTGTCGACTGGAGAAAGCGAATTGACGAAATCGTATGATGCGTTGCCCACTATATTCTCGTTCGATCAGGAACGTAGCAACTTTATGAAATTCAAGTACCTCGAACGATTTAAAAATTGACATTTGAATATATATAAAATTGTAATTAAGTGCAAATTTCATATTCTGAATATCATCGCTTTTAATAAAGTTGCGTAGTTGGTGAAGAGAGTGTAATTTCTAAAAACATAAAAACGTTAATGTTAATGATTTTATTCTCAGGTATTAGAAAATATAGTTAAAAAGTAAAAGTTATTCGAAATATCGATTGTTATAGATATTTATTTTTTAAATAATTTCTGATAATTTTGAATTTTTGTTTTTTTACATTTTTAAATGATATATACTAAAATATATTAAATAGATAATAGATATATACTAATATTAAAATAATATAAAAAATAAATTAAACAATATACTAAAAAATTTTAAGTATCTTTTCTTTTTTTGAATATATGAGGAGATTGATATTTATGAACAAATACTGTGATTTATAAAATGAAAAACAAATTTAGTTTCTTATTCATGTTTTAGTTCTTAATATCTGAGATCAAAGATCAATACTTAATGATTCCAAAGAGCGAAATAAGAATTCATTAACATTTCATTTAATTACACTCATTTTGTTTACGTGCATACTATAGTATGTTCTACTAAAATAGAAAAATGTTGATTGTTTTTTAGTAAAAATTAAGATTGTTTTTTAGTAAATAATAGAACTAGGATATAATTAATATGTCTCTAATTATTAAAGTTATTTTCGACTCATTTCATTAAAGTTATTTTCGAATTATTAAAGTTATTTTCGAATTATTTCATTTAATATTCGTGGAAAATTATTGTAGTAATTTTAAATACAAAATATTTATAATTCTTTGTAAATTTGGAAATTGATTACGTTACGTACTTTTTGAAGTAAGCTCACAATACAAATATAAAGTCGATAGATCGAAGATATGTGTTATCGAGATTTACGTTAAATTAACTTTTTGATACATTCATTATTTCAAATTTTATCAGAATTATAAGAGAAAAAGAATTTTTAGAGGTTAATGACGCATTTATAACCTGTGGATAATATTATATTATCAATGTTCAACGCCCTGTTGTCAATATTCGTTTCATTTTATCATCAAATGACAAATAACAAGTATCCGAATGTTAGTATAGTATTTATACATACCTAAAAACATGAAAATGCAGTGGATGAATTTTCGAAGATTTCTTGAAGCAGTGAAAAGAATTAATTCATTAAATAAGCGTCAAGTTAGCATTAATTGCAAGACTGTTGTTTGTAGTTCTGATGTAGAACTGGCTAAGAAAAATGGATTACCAATTGTGGCCTTGGAATCCACAATTATTACTCATGGAATGCCTTATCCTGATAATTTGAAGACAGCCATTCAAGTGCAAAATGTTGTCAGAAAGAAAGTAATTATTTATAAATTATTATTGGAAAGGAAAGCAAATAATTACTTTTTCTATATTTTAATTTTGTGTCATCAGGGTGCTGTACCTGCAACTATAGGAATTTTAAGTGGACAGATACATGTTGGTTTAAACAATGAACAACTGCAAACACTAGCTAAATCAGATTCTATTAAAACTATTAAATGTTCACGCAGAGATATATCAACAGTTGTTGCTCAAAAACTAAATGGAGGAACAACTGTTAGTGCAACAATGTTAATAGCAAATTTATTAGATTTGCCCATAATGGCAACAGGCGGTATTGGTGGTGTCCACCGTGGAGCAGAACAGACTTTTGATATTAGTACTGATTTAGTAGAGCTTGGACATACCCCTGTAGCTGTTGTTTGTTCTGGTGTTAAATCTATATTAGATATTGAAAAGACATTAGAATATTTGGTTAATATATTTTCTCCTTGCATAAAAAGTAATAATTATTACAATAGAAACTAATAATCACTTCTACTTGTAGGAAACACAAGGAGTTCCAGTTGTAAAAATTGGTAAAACAGACTATTTCCCTGCATTTTACTGCACTGAAACATTTCAGAAAATAAAAGTGCCACATACTGTATCAAATTCACAAGAGGCAGCAAAGATTCTTAAAGCGCAAAGAGAATTAGGTCTTCAAACAGGATTATTGTTTGCTGTCTCTATTCCTGGAGAATATGCATTAGATTCTAAAGAAATGGAATTAGCCATATGTAATGCTTTAGAAAGTGCAAAGAGTAAAAATATAAGTGGAAAGAATGTCACACCATTTTTGCTAGAAGAAATAAATAAAATTACGCATGGTCAATCTCTTCGAGCTAGTAAGTAAAAAAATTCTTTGATATAAAAATAAGAATGACATAAGCTAAATTGGTACCTCTTACTTCATTTTTATCTTTTTAAAATTAACAGACATGGCACTCATAGAAAATAATGCAAGTATAGCAGCAGAAATTGCAATGAATTTGGCCAAAAAATGTTCCCAAAGTTCTCTCAACAATAATGCGTTCAAATGCACTCTGGCAGCAGAAAGAAATCCAGTAAATAAAACAAAAATATTTGTATATCCTAAAAAATATATAATATTGTTTACTTTATTTTCTCATTCTGTAATTTGTTTATGTTATAGATTGTAATTGGCGGCGCTATAATGGATACCACGTTGCAAGTGAAGGAATCTGAGATAAAAGTAAGTCAAGTCTTAAATCAGGATTATACTAAATAACCAATTTTCCTTGTATTCATATTTCAGAGGAGTTATAGAACGTTTAACAGTATTTACATACAATTACGACCACATAGGTTTTATGTACATTTAAGAATATGTATTGAATAACACGAACTCATAGTGTAGTATAGGGAAGAGTGGTATGATACAATAATATAATATGAATAACGCATGATTAAAGCCAAAGTTAGAAAACTATGTCCATGCAGTGTATCGAAATTAATTTAATCAAATGTTCTGTAAGGTAGAACATTTTGAAAAAAGATACTCGTTCGAATTAAATTCTTCCAGGTTGTTTTTAATGTCTCAATTAAAAATGTACTTGTAAGAATTCTTTAAAAAAAGTTCGAGATAAGCGTTTCCCGTTGTGCATAGTAATATGCATGATTATGAAAGTATAACGAACGCATTTTATATTCTAGTTACACTTTTACCCATACTTGGCTACGGTAGTCCTATTGGGTTTACCGTGTACGAAATAACGTACATACCATATCTAACCATTTACAGATACAGTAAATTAGGTTTCTTAAGCAGGCACTATTCAAAGCTCCCTCTCTTTCATTCGTCTCGATATACGTATTACATTTAAATATCAATCAGTTACAAATTACTACACATGTTGAATCATTTTTAAAGCCTCTCTCATTATAGAATCGTTATTCATCGTTGACTGGATATATATACGTCTAACTAAAACATAGAGTTACGAGTCTTTCGTTCGTTTAACGAGTATAACGATTGAACGATTGAACGAATCGAAGAAACGAATTAAAACGTGAAGAAACAGTATATCACTGTTTCGTTTAGCCAAAAGTTTTGAAGCTTATTCTAATTAAAGGTAGCCATGTAGGTTCTCATGTTTCATGGGCGGCTTACAATAACATAGTTGCCTTTCTAAATGATCGGTTTAAAAATTAATTAACGCTATCTGTTGTATGTTTTACATATAGTATATCCTTATGTACATTTAGTGGCAGAGGCTGTATGTCTGCGAGGTGTAAGCTTTCATATTATTATTGTAGTACATTCAACGATAACTCGATGGCCTGATTAAGAAAGAACCCTCGATTACTTATTTTTCTCTTCACGCGTTCCATTTCTTTTTTCTCTTTTTTTAATGATAAAAAATTGTGCATGATAAAACTGAAAAAAAAAAAAATCTCGTTAGGAACGCGCAATAATCGTCGTGTCGTGTAATAAATGACTTCTTTGGTAATTTATTCACGTTATAACGTACGATGCTAAGAATACCCTGTTGTCCAGACTGATGTAATTACGAGAAAGACAAAAGATCAAATCTGAATTCTAACGATGAACCTCACAGCTTGTATCTTGATAGTCTCGGTGAACTTTCGTTCATGTTTCGTTTTAAACAAAAGTAAAGAAAGCTGATGTTTCTCGATATATGCATACATGATTAAATCGTGTGCAATGGATTCTGGCTTTCTCTTAAACAGACGATCGACTCTTAATATTTGACTACCATACATCGCTATATACAGTATCTACTAATACGTATATCCATTATTTTTTGCATTTGTAAACGTATATAATCCCTAAGATTCGATTAATCCTAGCTAGGAAGCCAATTACTTTGAGTATCGTATTATATTTATACGACTTACTGCACAAATCAATACAGACTACTCGCGCTGCATGTATCGTTTTATATAAAAAGAACTAGGAATTTATAGTCGTTACTCTTATGCGGTGACTTTGTGTGTTTTGTCTCTCTCTCTCTCTCTCTCTCTCTCTCTCTCTCTCTCTCTCTCTCTATATATATATATATATATATATATATATATATATATATATATATTTCTATATATCTATATATATATATGTATTTTTTCCTCAATCCAACGTTTCGCCTTTTTTTTTCTTTTTACTTTTCTTTTTTACATCTCCACTATTTAGTATAGCTCGTCGAAAAAAGAGATTTTCTATTTTTTTTTTCTCGTGTTTCCTATATAGTCGTATATTTTTTTCGCAGAGGGAGAATCAATTTGACAGTAGTATCCCACAATATTCTCCCGTAACTATCGCATTCTTCGTAATCCTCGACGGTTCCACTTCGAAAGTACGAGTTCGTTGCTAGAATTTTTACCATAAAAATGGAAATGGGGGGTGGAAAAAAAAGAACGCCGTAACATCAAAGAGAAACAAGTAAAAATAAACGTTCGCGTGACGATAAGCGATTAACCTTTGATATACGTATCTCGCCGGTATACGTGTGCTAAAAAACTTTCGATAGCGAGCAACGCACTGTACTCTCAATCGTGTATATATAAATGCAACCGAGTGCGTTGATACAGCTCAACCCAACCTTCGCGTTCACAGTTTTAAGTCGGAAACGCGGTAAACGGAGAAGCGGAGAGCAATTTCCACCGTTTCGCTAATTAAACGCGCTATAACGATATGTAATAAACGGTATTCAAATGTTAATTAAAAAGGGGCAGAAGGGAACAGATCGCTGGGAATATTACCATTTCAAATAGTTAATAGCGCACGATAGTTACATTTTGCACTTTGTGACATACTACTTGCGACAGTGATTCGCGCGGTAAAAATCAGTATATAATTTCGGCCTCGTGTCTGAAATGCTCTTTGGTTCGCTTCGATTCAAAGAGAGATGGTTTCATATAGGAAAACTTACTGCTAAAAAATAAATCTACAAAAGTAATTGATTATTTTTCATCTTTTTCTTCTTCCTCTTTTTTTTTTTCTTTTTGGTTTCTTTCGTTTTTTTTGTTCACCGACCGTGCGAGGACGGAAAGACGTGTGTAAAGAATATACGCGTAGAAAGAGAATCGAAAGGATGTCGGAAGGCAAGCACAGACCTTCCTATTCCCCCTTTGTGCAGCTTCGACGCACCTCCTCTGTTTTTCTTTTCTTTTTTTTTCTTTTTTTCACTTTTACGTAATTTTTTTCTTTCTTTCTTTCTTTCATTTTTTTCTCTTTCGCCCCTTCGCCTCTCGTTCGATCTTCCTTGCAATTCATTCGTGTCGATTCTCGCTTCACTGGCCGGTCGTGTGTCGTCACGCAAAAGGAAATTTACTCTGTTCGTCAGCACTTTGGGCCGCATCGTCGTGCAGACTCTGCACTTGCAGTGTACAATGTCACGAGGGAAGTGTATCTTGAAAATCGCGCGTAGTTGCTAAAATGATTCGTCCACTCGTCGCGTCGCTAGGTGTTTAGAGTAAACGAACGAGATACGGCAAAGTTAGTATCCTAGTCTAGCCTAGCCACGGTTTAGAAACAGTTTCATTTCACAGTTTTATTAAATAAATCTCTCTATCGTCGACTACAGGGTTTCGGAGTGCACCCTATCCGATAAAAGACGGTTCAACGATACACTTTCCTGGCGACGCGTAGAACTTTGAACGTTATTCGCTTATTGTGGGCTGGTGTGCTCGTGATGTCGGTAGAATCTTTAGAAACCTTAGCTCCGGTCTGCGGACCTATCCTTTAAAAAATGAAGATACGCTTAGTATTGTATATAGTTTGATTTGGTCGTTTTCGTTTATGTTTAGTAATCTTGTAATCGCGGTATCGATTTTTGTCGAAGTTAAATGCTTTGGTCTTGTGTTACATACTTTTTATTCCTTTTTTTTTAATTTTATATATATATATATTTATTATATATTTATATATATATATATTTTTTTTTCGTTACCGCCTAATGTTATTCTTTTTCGCTGCAGTCTTCCTTAATTTTATGCTACTCGAATCCTGGGAGACGTGAGACCTGACGATGCAAATGCTCGTTCGCAGTTCAGCGTAAACGTTTCGTTTAACGCTGACAGAATAATCCTGTTCTATTGGAGGAAATTCTGGTACAGGTCATCCACCGAGTTCCTATCTACCGAGACTAACGACGTGTCTGTCAATTAATCCACCTCCCGACTTCTAAAAATATATAGCCGGAAACTCGAGTTCAATCGCGATTATCAAAATGTCCGATTCTAATCCGATCAAGTTCGCAAAACGGGACGTTGAATAGGAGAGCTGATCAATTTGACGAAAATAGAGATTCGTTAATGGAATCAAAATCAACGGTGCGCCTGATGCTCGATACAATCGAATTCCCCTCTCCAATCGGAATTTCTCTCTAATACGAAGAATTAGAATCGATTATTGACGAATTCCTTTCTTCTCACATCTATCTAATTCAGGCGGTTGTCAATTGCAACAATATCGCCGACTAATATCGGTCTGTTGCAAATCTGCTGCCTCGATTGAAGCAACAAGACGCGAAGACAAAAGAGAACACGACGACCCGAAGGAATGAATTGAAGTGTAATTTTATTGTTACGTTATTTTCTGTTTTAATATCAATCGATAATACGGTTAGAATTTGCCTCGTGGTTTGACTAAAATAGGTTTTTCTCGAAGAGCACGAGCATTCTGTATCCAGTGTGTAAGTGTCAACGAGAGAACTGCTGGTGTTCGATCTCACGATTCTTTCGTCTATAGAACAATTTGACGATTCCAACAACGTTCACGATGACTTCTCGAAATGAGGCGATTAATCTTCGTTTACCCAGCAGATAGAGGGAACATTCTGGCGAAGGTTAATAGAAAAATACTAAGAGATGTCAATCGTCAGCGGCTCCAATGTTCAATCAATTTCGTTATTTTGTCGATTTAAAAGGGTATTCGTCTTTGAGAATATTTAAAAGAGGGTCTGAAACACAGAGAGTGTGTGTACAATGTATTATCAGCGATGTGTACGATTTAACAGTGAAGAAATTAGAGAAGGGAAGATTATGAATGCGTGGTTAATTGTAGAAATTCACGATTTAACGTAAAACGATGGATCAACGTCGCACTATAATCGCAATTGTTGTATCAAGTTTATCATGCTACGTTTTACATTCACACAGAACAAATTGAAGATCGAAACGAAGAAATGTTCGATTTGCTGAGAGATTGAAAATTTACGCGTTCACACAATTTCAGCGCGAGAGCGAGACGATACCATTTTCGTTCCTCGATGTTCGATAATTTCCCGATAACGAGAAAGGATGGGAAATTGTAGCGTCCTCGTAAAAAAAAAAAAGGGACAACGGGAGAGAAATTGATCTCTACCGGTACTGAAATTCGACGGAGGAAAAGAAAAACTGCCCGTTTTATGCTCTCGGAAGGGATATAAAGAAACGTTGCTCGAACATCGCGTGATTTGAAAGAAAGAAAAAAAGAGCGAAAGAAAAAAAGAAAAGACAGGATGAAGGATCAAACAGGAACCTCCCTTCGGATTCGACGGAAACGCTGAAGACGGGTTTACGCAAAAATCAATACCTCGTGAGCGTAATATCCTTCTCGATACGTCTCTATAATCAGTTGTGCCTGTGACGTGTGTTGTATTGTCTTCTGAAGTGAAAGATCGGGGTCTTCTCTTTATTAAAAACAACTCTCTATCGTTACGACTATTTATACGATTATTACAACACCTCTACTCTCTACGTTTCTCCCTTTAAAAAAGAAAAACTTAACCACTGAATACCGCACAATAGTACGCTAGATTCTCGACATGTACACGGGCTGTTGTTTTCAATTTAAACCATCCAATCTACGATACCTCGTACTAAAATATCTATGTATATCTATATATCTTATACAAAAGATATACTATACACTCCTCCTACGTTTATAAAACGTACGGTTTAATTACTCTTCGTTAACGAACCAGGGAGAGCTTTGTACATTAAGCAGGTTAGAGAACGTGAACATGAGAATCCGAAGGTCGATTCGTATTTCATCGCATCTCTCTCTCTCTCTCTCTCTCTCTCTCTCTCTCTCTCTCTCTCTCTCTCTCTATCTATCTATCTATCTATCTATCTTTCTANTCTCTCTCTCTCTCTCTCTCTCTCTCTCTCTCTATCTATCTATCTATCTATCTATCTATCTATCTATCTATCTATCTATCTTCTTTTGGGCAAGAGAAGGAAAAAAAAAAGATCGTTTCGCCGTTAGTCGTTAACACGATTGTTAACGATTCGCGTGTATAGAGAGCCACGCGTATACGGATAGGCTTACTTATACACGGTGATCTCGGCGGACCGATTGCTCCTGTAGAGGAGACGGTTCGACGTGTTTCGCCACCACTTCCATAGTCAGGTGCGCCTGCTTTGACCACCGGCTGTTATACCCGTGCCCGGGCTGCCGCCGTTCGACAGCCACAATCTCCTATTGAACTCTCGCATCTCGTAGTTGTTGTTCCCGTTGCTCTTCTCCCGGTTGCCGCAGTTGTGGTTCGCCGAGGTGGGCGTCGTTTCCTCGAGGATGAGCGCGCAGTGGCTGTTCGTGTCGCTGTCCGCGCCACCGTCCTGCAGATTGTTCGCCAACAGGGGATGCCTTCCGGTGTTGCACTCGTCCGTTTGGATCAGCAACGATGCATTCCCTGAAATTCATTTGTTTTTCTCTTATCATTTCTTGGGTAAAATCTTTCTTTTAACCTCTTGCGCTGGAACGACGTGCCGTGTTTGCAGAAATCGCAATATTCTCTCAGTTTAATTATTACATTTAATATTTATAACCCAGGCAGAACAAATAATAAATTTATCACCTCTTTATTACTTCAATCATTTCTGTCGGTTGAATACGGTGAATACGGTTTGGTCACTCGTTATGGTCCGCAATCAGTTGCCAGCGCAAGTGGTTATAATTGGAATAATTTTCAAAGCTGCTAAATATACTATACAGCGAGCACTTTCTCCGGAATTAATTATTTGCGAATATTGTTTCCCTGTGTTTTGTATTTCCGTGTTTTGTTGTTGCTAGACAACAGTTGCTCGACCGTTCTGATTTATCGATCATTCCCAGCAGCAATCTCGCCGGTAATTGCCAATAATGCGTGTTTCACGCGATAGAAGTGCACATGCAGTTGTAGGGAAAGGGCGGCAAGAACCTTCGACCTTTACGCCGTGACATCCGTTTTAATGTCGCGGTGGTTATCGATGCACACATCGCGTGCTGTACATCAATGCTGTTAGCTAGATCAAAGTCGGTACGTTTAAGATGCGTTGATCGCACGCGTTCGTTCAGATAACGTGGCCAACGATCGTTAGATCGATAATGGCACTCGAGTTAGCGACGACTGCCACGATCTATCAGATTAACGTAATCGCGTAAGATAAGAAAGGGGAAAGAAACTCGCTGATACGTATTCTCTCGATCGGTCTAGAGAGATTGAAGCTCGATGCCGAGGGGAGATATCCTCAGCTACGTGTTTCATCTTCTCCCTTTCGTGTTTTTTATTTCCACGAAGGAAGGGGAAGCAAGATAAATGTTTCAACGATTCGAAGTGACACAAATGTCACCGTATTTCCTTTGATTTTCCTGCAAACACGTTGACCATTGAACATTAACCTCTTGCCACGCACGTCGAGAATTTTTTGTTCCAAAATTGTAATATCCCCTCAGTTTTAAGTGAAACGAAATAGGCGAAACAAATAATAAATTTATTACTTCTGAATAATTTCTATCCTAGTGATGTCATAACCGACGAGTTCAATAAGATTGTATACGGCTTGGTCACTCGTTATGGTCCGCAGTCAGTTGCCAGCGCGAGTGGTTAAGGGAGAATTGTTTCAATTTAGTCTGAAACTTCTGCATCGCCTCTCCAAGAGGTCAGTTCTCTTATTCTTGGCTGGTTCTTTAATAATTGATCGGCCACCAATTACACGGTACAGGTGTGTGAAATTATTTTTATCCGCACGTGTTTCGAGGGTGCAGCGTAGCGCGCGTTACGGATTCCCCTCGCTTCGTTTCAAGGGCGTTAGAAAAAAGAAAAAAAAAAGAAAAAAAGAAATTCCCAAAGGAGCGGAGATTATCCAGCGGGACGTGAAACGGGGGAGCTTCATTTATCACAAGAAAACTGCGGCGAGAATAATTAGTCGTTCAGTTTGAAAGCTCCAGTGGAATTTTAACGTTGCTAATGAAGCCGAGAAACGAAGTCTCTCTCTTTTCTCTCTGTTCTCCACCATCGATTCGAGGAAATCATTGTCGAGATTCTCTGCACGAAGGATGTTTCTTGAGATAGGGCAGGGCGAATGATCCGGAAAGGGGGGATGGGGACAGCTGACAAGTTCCGGGAGAGAAACATTCTTCATCCTGTCTCTCTTTGACAGCCGTCAACGATCCGGCAAACCTCGAAGACACGGCCGGAGGCTTCCGATTACGAAACCGCGGCTTCGTTTCGAAGCTTTCAACGATACCCGCGCAATATCAACGTTGTGACATCCGCAGAGAAATTTCTGTAAAATCAATCGATCGACGCAATCGGTCTTCGTCTTTGCGATTTGAACGAGTTGTATACGGCGAGATAGATAGTTTTTAGAACCGATAAAAAAAACGCGACGACTATGGCAGACTTCCGTGGCGAACGGAATCTTTTTTTTTTTTTACGATGTCGAGGCGGACTCTCTCTTCTTATCGTTGGTCCGACGTGACCTTTGACTACGCCGCGAGTCTAGATTCCAAGTTAAAATCCGCTCTATCCGTTCGTGTAATTACCAGAGCAGGGGTACGAGCAGGGCGCTAAAATACTTATTATACTGGAGCACGCAATGCCCTAGTTCTTCTACTCAGGGCCCCGAGGAGTACGACGCGAAGCGTTATACGCGGGGTGTATTACTTAAATGACTAGCTCTCCCGTCCAGGACCGCCAGTTTCAACGTAGAATTATGCATTTGCCTGTGAAACGGCTCGACGTGTTCCCACTTTCTCGTTCTTTCGTGCTCTCGTTGCACGCGCGGTCTCTTCCGTGTCGTTAACCCCTTTGTCGTTTCGTGCCAATTATTTTTGGAAGTCCTTTTTTTTCCCCCCCTCTTCGCTCCTCATCTAAATGCTTAACGCGAGTCGCCTTCGCTCCGGTTGCCTTCAATCTGCTTGAAATTTCCAGCCGAAAACCGAGAGAATTGGAACGTTCTTCCAACACTGTATTTATAATACCTCTTTAGGTCAGTTTTTAATAACGATGCATGAGTTTGATCAAACTGTAAAGATCGGTCTGTTTTTCTCTGTCACTTGGCAGTCACATCCATCAGTCTATTAATTTAAAATAGCTTCTCCAAACGACAATTCTGAATTTTCCCCGTCAACTTTCGAAAAACCAATCTCTTCGAACACTCTTGGCAAATCTAAAATTGTACTCCATCTAAAAACTGTCTGAATATCTCTCGCCGGTTTTACATCCACACTGTGGAAATCCTCGGAGGAGTCCGTTAAACCATACCGGGGATCGAAACTCGCGTGTTACAATCCTCGTCGACGATGATAAACTCCTGCATTCGTGGATCTCGTGCAGCCAGTAAACATATTTGTTCACCGTAGATATCGCATGTCGAAGAAACAATCGACAAACGCAATCTAGATTCGCCAGCGAGCCTCGTGGTTGCACGAGACCCCGCGCTTTTAGTTTTATCTTCCGCGAATCTCGTTAACGGTGGTACGCCAGGGTTCCGGTCAGCTTCGCATCGGCATTGTTCGTTTTCTCGCCAGAGAATTATCGGATCTCCCCGTTTCGTTCCATTCAACAGTTTCGTTTGTTCATTGTTTATGTATGGAAGATACCAGGGAGAGAGAGAGAGAGAGAGATAATAGAGGCTGTTAGTCCGAGGTTCGCGAAAAGAGAAACTGGTCGTTGTTCCCGTTTTACGAATTCTCAATCGCGGAGCTGACGAAACGGCGTTTATAAACCGTGTTCGGTTTAACTCCATGCTCATCCAATTATCTCTCGTTAGGTTTTCGCTGTTAATCCGATCTTTTCGGCACGCCCCTGCGCCGTTTAGACCGTGTAAGTGCTATTGACTGCGAAGCCAGGCAACTGCGAGATCTCTTTCGACGAAAGGAGAAGGAATCGCGAGCGACCTTAATAAACGTTAAAAAAAAAAAAAAAACGATCCGCACGGTCGGCGAAACGTTTGTACGGGCACGCTGAAAATGGCGACAATGCCTCGGTTCTGAGAGAACCTTTCCGTGGGTGGAAAAACGCCCGATTCTCTGAATGAAAGTTACGAAATTTCTCGTGAAAAACTCCAGACGTCTCGCTTTCTTACTTCTCCTTTTGTTTTTTTTTTATTAACAGACGAAAAGCTGCTTAGCCTGGATATCATACACTTCAGATTTGATTTATGGTTTCAATTTTATATTGAGTTCTGGTAAAATGTTACGTTATAATAAATTGACTGTTATTTAAAATCCGTCTAATCTCAGTCGTTCTGAAACGATGATAAATTCATCGAATAGCAGAAAGATTTGTTCATGAATAGATTACAGAAGTTTGTTACACGGGGACGATAGAACTTGGAGATTTTTGTTGAATATTGAATACCATGTGTCTAGACATCAGTGGGATAGAAGTTGAGGTCAAAAATAACCATCTCCAAAAGACATTGATCGTGCGTTCAAATGGCTGGTGCCATGTGGCCATTTATAATCCAGCCACTTATCTAATATCCTGAGTTGAACCTACACACGATCATTCCACCCCAGTCATAATTTTTTCACGCTTCGCGTCGTCTGATCTCCGTATCATCGAGAAATTCGCAGGTCTCGGGTCGACTTAATACGTAACGATCAAAATGAACTTTATCAACGGCCCAATGAACACGCTGAAACGTTATTCCTCTTTCTTCGAATTGTCCAGACTATGATACAGAATTTGTCAGTCAGAAGATAGAATTCGAGTCATCTAAAATGTCAATTACTTACACAAAAAGTAAGACAAAACTTCTGTCTTTAGAAATGTTCATTTCAACCCGGTTCTAATGTTAACCCTAGCGAGATCAATGAAATCGTCGAGTTTCTCGATTGATATCAAGGCTTTAGTCGTGAGAGAAAGCAGGTTCTTATTATCGTTATATCGAATAGAATGGTTTGGTGAAACCTACCAGAAGGAGTGACAGCATTAGGGAGAGTCGTGCGCCGAACGATACTTCCGTTGTTAGTTGCTTCCGGTATCACTTGCGAGAAGGGCGGTTGCGTGAGGGTGGTCGCCGGCGGCGGTGGTTCACGTAGCAACCGTATCTTCTGTATCATTTCCCTTATCTCGTAGCGCAGTATACCCAGGAAACATAATTTCGCGAACGCTATCACGCAGAAGCCTAATACGAACAGCAAGTCCGCCGTTTTTCGCAGCCATCTCACCAACGATTCCTCGCAGCCCCTTGGGTACGGATGGGAACAAGTGTCACTGACGTTGCCGGTCGACTCGCAACAGGTCTGCGGCCATCTACCACCGAAGTCTCTGGAGCCAGTCACGCCGCAGCAGGTGAACTCCTTCTGCAAACGGTCCCACTGCTCGCTGAATCGTAGATCCTTGCCGTACTCCATCTACGATGAACATTTCACACAGAATTTTATCAGATAGGTGTCTTAAAAGGGTGTTGGAAATTCTTTTGGTAGATCGTTTTACTTAGGTTCGATATCTAGGCCTTGTTTCTATGGATTTCGAACTAACTAGTTACTGGTGAGTAAAAATATTTCGATAATTCGAAATTTTGCAAGTAATATCTGAATTAAAATTTTCTTTTAACGAGTAATTTTCCTTCTTACTAACTAACCATTGACTAGAACTAAGTTACTCGCGAGTAAAAATATTTCGATAATTTTACAAGTAATATCCAAATTAACATTTTTCTAACGAGTGATTTTTCTTCCTACTAACTAGTCATTGACTAGAACTAACTAAGTTACTCGCGAGTAAAAATATTTCGATAATTTTACAAGTAATATCCGAATTAAAATTTTTTTTTAACGAGTAATTTTTCTTTCTACTAACTAGTTACTAAGTAGAAATAACTAGTTACTCGTGAGTAAAAATATTTCGACAATTCGAAATTTTATAAGTAATATCCAAATTAACATTTTTTAACGAGTGATTTTTCTTCCTACTAACTAGTCATTGACTAGAACTAACTAAGTTACTCGCGAGTAAAAATATTTCGATAATTTTATAAGTAATATCCAAATTAAAATTTTTTTAACCAGTGATTTCTTTTTTCTCGTCTCGCTAGAGGATACATTTAAATTTGCCTGCAAACGCGAACTGATTTTCTGCGTTCAGAAAACAGTCGATGGCCTATTATGTCCTATTATGTCCTATTATATGACGGTCATAGAACTAGGAAGTTTTCGGCTTTGTTCGAAACATTATCGACGGGGCTAAATTTACGCATCGTTTGTCGAAAGGCGGCTGGCTGCAGGTATTTTTAAGTCGATATTTTTAACTCGTCGATATCGAACCAGTATTTACGACTTAGGAGATAGATTTAGGTGGCACGGAGTTCGAGGAACGTTCCCCGATTATCATTGTCGAATTCGTTTGGAAGATTCATTGGTAGAATTTATTCGAACGAAATTTTCAGTCAGTAGCCGATTCAACGAACTTCTGCCAGTTAAATCCACTTACTTGATCCTAATGAAAAATCACTATAGTAAAGGGGAAGATTATATAAATCATTTGTACACTGACAAGTTTATATCAACAGAGTTCTACCGTACGTTTACGTTACATTCTTCTACGTTCTTCGTAAAGAAGAGGAAACAATTTTTGAAATGTTTTTCATCGATCGAAAGATACTTAAATACGATAGATAAAAACTCGACAGTGGCGTTATCCATGAGGAAGAGAGTTTCAAAATGACGAGAAGGATAATGCAAGGCGACTCGCGTGGGTCTCGTGTATCCAGGTCGATCATCGGGGGGTATACGCACATTTTCCGTCGATTATGCGATCGACCCAGATAAGAACGGGGCTAAGAATAATGACTGCAGATACGGACGAGAGAAACGAGGTGAAACGTTGGCGAAAGGTTGGAATTGTTAGTAATCCCCGTGACACTGATTTTTCATCGTGACGAGCAACCAGGCGCCAGTAAACTAGTTCACTGTTTCTTAATTAGCTCGGGCCAGCTAGTTCATCCCCGAATATTTCCTAAATCCACACATCGGGCCCGTGTGTGTGTGAAGCTACACACACGTCAGTGAAAATATTTTTCTTTGAAAATTTTTAGTAGAGAAAGAGAGAGAGAGAGAAAAAGAAAAAAGCCGAGAATTCGTGTGTGTCTCGAGGCTGACATCGAAAAGAACAATCGGCACCATCTGAATGTTAGAATCAGCAAATGCGAAAGGACAGAATTCTTTTTTTTTTTTTTGCCTCGTCAAGTCTCAACAGTCGTGTGTACTGTCGCAGTAATATATCAACGTTCGCGTTCATAAAAATTTCAGACTGTTTAGGCTCCTCGGAGTTATTTGAAGTTTCAGGCTCGCTAGGCGCTCGATAGGCGCTCGAACACGCTGTCGCCGCCGATTAAAACTTTCAATCGTTGATTAAGAATTCGCTGGAAATAAACGAAGCCGCGTCGTAAATTTGCGGAAAGTAAAAGTCCGTGCCGAGGAGGAAAAATCGATTAATACCCAACGTCTGCGTCGTTTCTCAGCCGTTATCCTCTGCCGCGTTCGCGAGGCTCGAAACTCTCGTTTCGAAGATGTTAATTTCATTCTCCGTTCGTTCTCCCATGTATATTCAACGGTTCGTTTTACTTCGGCTTTGCGGACTAAAAGGATCGAATTAATTCGATCGACTCGAAAGTTCAGAATCGGTCGTTGCTTCACCCGCTCTTTTTATCTACTACGTGCACGATGCGCACAGTTTAATGTCAAGCGTCACAAAAAAGAGGGAGAGAAGTTTCGCGGCGTAAAGTTTACCAGGAAATACGTGAATATCTGTGTGCTAGTTTATAAATATAGTTGGAGAACTGTACGTTGGCTATGGTATGAATAATGTTCGCATCATGCCGCAAATGGTACCTTGCCTTGTCGTCGGGTCAGCCAACCACGGATGTTCGAATTGTAATGAGGCTACACATTTGCACGGAAAACATCGCGATGACGCGTGCAAACTTCTCGAGAGAGAGAAAAAGAGAGAGAGAGAAGAAAAGAAAACCAGACCGTTCGAGTGAATATGCATAGTAATATCGTAAAAAAGTCCACGCGAATCTTCTGCGTTTGAAACTTGTATCAATTGCTTGAATGATATTTAACCACTTGCGCTGGCAACTGATTGCGGACCATAACGAGTGGCCAAACCGTATACAAATAACTCTTTTTGAATTCATCGGTACATCACTGGATAGAAATTATCGAGAAGTGATAAATTTATTATTCTTTTGTTGCCTGGGTCACATTTAAATATACTTGAAACTGAGAGAATATTGCAATTTTCGGGACAAAAGGAATTCTCGACGTGCGTGGCACGTCATTCCACCGCAAGAGGTTAATCATATGGATGTTAAAAAGAGAAGAAAGAAAGAAATTTAGAACATAAATCCATAAATTTGTTCTAAACTCGTCGTTGCTATATTAATATCCAGACGTTGGTTTTTAATTTTAGTTTCAAGATCATTGATAAAATTACGTATTTCACATTTTTTTCATTCACTTCAGATCGTTTTCCATTCTACGCAAAAGCACGGATAAACCGTTTTAACTTTCTCTCCTCCTCCCCCCCCCCCTTCCCGATAAATCGAATTTACTTTTCATTTCGCGAGCGTATTACGGACATTTATGATCGTCTGTAGATTTAAATCACCTTAACATTTGCCGCGAGCCTACGACCAGGTAATCCGCCAGTGTCTAGCGACTGACGTTATATCCTATTCCTCTTACTGCCAGAGATTACATCGATTTTTTGGTCACCGGTCGACCCTGTATATTTTTTATGTTTATCGATTAAACGGTACCGGGAATAGCGTATCGAATAGGAGACACGCGGCACGTTTCGAATGAAAGCGGAGATCGGGAACGAAGTTGATGATAAATGGAAAACACGGTGCAGGAATACTTTCACCCTCGGATTGAACGCGATCCGCGCCAAGTCCAGACGCCTATTCTACTTACGACTTCACTGACAATTTTTACTGCCAAACGTTTGAAAGAGTTGTTTGAACCTGGTGCCAGCTTCGACACCGGGAACCTGTCCTTTCCACGCGGTCGATACTTCATTGAATATTACGTCGAAATGATTTGAGGCTGCCACGCCTTCGCTATTCTTCTCGCCCGATCGTTCCCTCCAGCTCCTCCCTGAAAAACCATTTCTTTTTCCTCTTCTTTTTTCTCTTTTTCGTGTTTTCTCGCGCTTGCTCGAGCGCTTACTCCGCCTTAACGGAACTGCACGTCGTATCCCGGACGAAAATTATCGTCGTTCTCGTCCGGACTGTGTGTTATTCCACGCAGATTCCTCTCGCGAAGGAGGAGCCGCGAAGCCTCTAACTTCCCGAGCGAAAGTTTGATCGAGCACCAAGAACAGAGAGAGAGACGCCTTGAATTATTCCAACGGGCAACTACGAAATGCCAATGCACGCGACGTTATCATGAGTTCTCGATGATATTTCACAATGGATATTTCCCTCTGGATAATCTTTCGTGTCCCTGGTATCGTACGCTTCTTCTTCATTTTTGTGTCAGAATGACGGTAAAGTGCAGCTCGTTGCAGGCCTTGATCGCGATATTACCGATTCTCTTATTGCGAAAACGAGCCGCTTATACCACGCTTAACGACCATTTTCTCCACCGACTATCGCGTATAATGGCATTCTCCTCGTTCGTCGAGCATAAAGCCGTCGTGCGTTTCTCTCGAGAGACTTCCCTTCTGGATATTCTCTCAGCTTAATAAGATCAGAAGCTGGAGCCTCGTAACAGCGTGTTTCGGAAGGAGAAACGTATCTACTCGATACCATCGTCTGTCGCAACTCCGAGCGAATTTCGAACGATTCTAGGTACACGGAACGCACGTTTAAGGGACAATAAAGCGATGCGTATCGCGACTCGATACGTGTTCCGTTGCTGGCGAATTACCAAGCAAGCAAAGGACGAGGAAATGGCCGAATAAAATTCGTCTCGCGAAGCTTGTTGGAGATCGCGATCACGTTGGAGTGATTTCGTTCGACAGAGGATAGATCGTCGTCGTGGATTGGAATCTGATTTGCAGCCTCACTTCTCTTCGGCGTGCCACGGATATAAAGTTTCCACGATGGAAAGACCTTCTAAGTCTTGACGTCTAACTTTTTTCCTCGCCGACCATCGAGCTACCTTGAGACGCCTAAGGTGAAGTTCGCTTGTGTAAGGCTCGACAGGAAAAAGCGGCAAGTTCGTATTATAAATATACCTAACGAAGTGTCCTAAAATTGTCAAAATGACAACGTACGAGATGAAACGTGGGTGAAAGTGAGGGAAGAAAAAGTCGAACAAGTGTAGAGATCTGCCAATTGAGGGAAGAATATTCGTCTGTTTTTGTAACGTTCAGAGGATAGCTTACTTTAGTTGCTGTAGAAGGAAGGAAAAAAAAAAAAAGAAGGAGTGACGAAGAGGTACGCAGTACACAATTGACAACTCGTAAATATGCAAAAAGAAAATTCTTCTGATATTTCTTTCAGGTGTTAAAACTCGTTATTGCACCGCCCGAAGGCCTATCCTTCCCACAAGCTCCCCGAGAAGAAACGAAAGATAAAAGAGAAGATAAAAGATACTGACCTGCAGTCGTTGTTTGAGAGTGGGCCTGAGCTCGGCGCGCATCCTCTCGAACCGGAAGACCCAGGCGACCCCGATCACCGCGTCGCCGAACAGCAACGCCAACAGCAGCACCCAGTAGGCGTTCAAAAGTCTGGCGCTCAATCGCCTCGCCGCTATGCAACCCAACAGTTGCACAAGGCCCAACTGCGTGGCCAACGCCAAGTAAGCGTAAAGGGCGGTCGGGTCGAACGCGCGTGGCACACCCGGCACCACGTAACGGCGTGGATCGCCGGTGAATAAAAGTGTTCGCGAGACCGCGGCGGCGAAGCCGAGCGCGCTACCGAGCAGCACCAAGTTACAGGTGTAGATCCAGAGCCGGTAATATCGCATCGCGACGTCCTGGCCACAGTCGGCGCGTCTTTGGGACGTCACCGACGCCGCCGCCTCGTCGGCGACGTACGAACGATTGCTGTCTCTTCTGTTGCCTTTAAATACTTCGTTGTTGTTGTTGTTGTTGTTGTTGTTATTGTTGTTGTTGTTGTTGTTATTGTTGAGGTTGTTGTTAGTCGTCGTCGTGGTAGTCGTGTCGATGGAGTGTCGATGCTCCTGACTGTCGTCGAGCAGGAATAAGAAAGGCGGCTTCGCGCTGCAGTCCTTGTTCGCTGTCTTTTGGCTGTGCGTCGACTGCGGGGTGACTGAACGTTGCAGCAGCATCACCGTCATACTATCGTGCCTCCCTGGTACGCGTGTCCTCGTCGTTAAGGATTATACCGTCCGGCTTGGAGAATAGAACCGGGAGCGTGTGTGTTTATTGAGAGACCTAGGGGGAGAGTCTCCTCCCGCGGAGGAGGTGGACGAGAGAAACGTGCAGTGAGAAACGACGTGTGTCACGCGAGCCACATTGCACGCCCCGGACAGTAGTCCGTTCTGTTTATTGCGGGCTTCCCGGCCAACCGTTCTACTCGTTCCTTCCCTTCTTGCTTCTTTACCGCTTCCTTACCGCGTCCGCTTCTTTTCTTCCTCTTCTTTCTCTTTTTCTTTCTTCTTCCGGTTACTTCTTCTTCTTCTTCGTCTTTGTCTTCGTCTGCTTCTTCTTCTTCTTCCACGATTGCAACTGCTGATGATTTCTACATCGGGAAAAGATCATGGTAATAATGGTGACGACGCTAGCAGCTGGGGAAGACTGATCGCTGTAAGAATAAGCTACGAACGATTTACGGCGCTTATACACACGCCTCGAACATGCTTGCACGCGGCTCGATAGTTTACAGCGAGCAGTCTGTGTTCACTGGGTTAGGGGATTGTGTCGCCTCTGTGTTAATAGATTGATTAGGACCCGTTTGATTACGGATTACAATGTCCCAACTACTGGCTGTCCGACCAATTGTCTGTCTAACTAATACACTTTATCGTTCACCGCCTGATTAACGAGCCACTGGATTATTTAGTTACATCTATTTTTCAGATCTATCATCGAAATGTGCTTCGTGTCTCCTGTCGGGTATCAATATTCACCGTCATTGTCGTTGCTATTGATCATTCATCGTCTCTGTTACCCTCTTACTTTTTCGTAAACGACGCTCTCGATAATTCATAATAAAATTCAGGAGATCGAGACTCACGATCTTTCTTTGTAAATCGAATTAGAACGCGTTATCGAAGGTTTCTCGAGGGAGAACTGTACAAGTCAGAGAGACGAGAAACCTCTCGGACCGAAATTGATCGCCAGCTAAATGATCGAAATAGAAACCGATCGAGTGTCGACCTTTTGTTCCGGTGTGACAACAATACGCGTTGCAGATTGGTGTCGACGATGTAATAAAGTTCCCAATAGGGGACGATTTATCTTGCCGGAATATATATGTACATCGGTTACCGTAGCGTCGCACAGTCCCGTCAGATTTCTCTGTTTCTCTGTCGTTGGAAGGCACAGGAAATTGATAAAAATATCGGCTCGACGTCGAGCGAAACGCGCATCGATGAACTCGCCGATGTAAAATTCGCCGTGGATATTACAGGCACGAGGCCACCGAGTTAATCCCGAGATTGTCAAGACATCTGGACGGCGGAAAATGGTGCCAGCAGGCTGAACGTATTTTTCAGGATATGTACACAAAACCAGTGGCTCTCGACTTTCTTCCAAAAGAAACACCACGAAGACATTGAATTTGGAATTTTCTGGACATTCTTAAAAAGGAAATCGTTGCACCGATGATTCAAGAGAGAGAAAGAGAGAAAGAGGAGACTCGGCTCGCTGATTATTCCTGAACTGAAATCTCGCGAATCGCAGCGATTCCATCGAGATTGGTGGGCTTTTCTTTTTTCGTGTCGTTGAAAGGACACGCGTAGCCACGTACTATCTGATGCACAAAGAGCGTCAGAGAGATACAGCAGGTAGTAATTATTAGCCTTCATCGTGATAGATCACGTTGTAGCAAGCATCGTACGCGGCGAAACGGCACGAACGGGTCACGAGCGTGTGTACCTCGCTAAATTGTATTTCTTTCTGACAGTTCTAGCGTGCAATAGGCAATTCTATTATCGATCTCCCTTAGCCCCAGACCAGCTGTGTTGCGCCTGTGTTCCCTCGCCGCTCGGCTGGGAAGAAAAAGACGAACGACTGCGAAATGAGCGATACGAAATGAAACGAAACGAAGTGAAACAAAACGGGACGCCAAGAGTTTCAGTAAATAGAAGCTGCTGAAAGCGCGAGAAAAACAACGACGATGAAAATGTCCGAGGGAAATGTTTTCTCGGTACATCTCGCTACGAGGGAATCTAGACTACTTCCCGTTGGAGTTGTGTATCGCAGTTTGCGCAGACGAGAGGAAAATGAAAAAATGGTCGAGGTAGTGCCGAAGTAAAAACTAAAGAATCGATTTATTTATTATACACGATTTGTTTTTAGATAAAGTCACGATGATTCTGTTCGAAGTAGATTTAAAATCTTCTACCATGTTCATATAGATTCTTCTTCTCTTAATCACTGGAGTCTAGACGAGAAAGGACAAGAGGAAAAAACGAAAAAAAAAAGGACCAACACAATTTATCCCGTTTAAAGAGTATTTTTAGATAAAATCGGCAGATTCTGTTGATTAAAAATGCCAATCTTCTAAAAATCCCACGCAGATGTGCCTTTGATATTTAATAATTGAATTATTAGAATCCAGAGGAAAGAGGAAAAAGCTATACCGTATAGCGTCACTGCCAATTCGATTTATTCTATATATTGTACGCGGAGAATACAGAATTTTTTGCAAAAATTACTGGAATTTCGGTACAAAATGCCAATTTTTTTTCACAACTACCACACAGTCTATATTCTTGTCTCACGTACTACTCAATTTATCCTGTATGTAGGATATTTTTTGGAAGAAATCTCTCTCTATCCAGAGTGTATACCATACAGGTTCTTCTTCATCGTCTGATAACTGGACTCGCTATACGCCGGTGAGAAATGTGATGCAAAAGAGGGAGATTTTTCAAACCTACGATGTTATATCGGATCCGCAGCTAGCCGCAGGCATCGGTTATTTTTAATAGGAATCACGTTTCTTATTAGACGACAACTTGCGTCAAACACGAGCTCGCTTTCATCTAATTCAAATTAGAGGAGATTCTCGCTCACGCTGAGAAGAGAGGCAGCGAAATAGATTGGAATGTCGATCGTGGGACGAAATGCCGTGGCTCGATCATCATTCGTGAAACGAACTCACATTAACGGAATATTTATGTAACACAGGCGACGAGGGATATTAAAGGATGACATTTAGAATCCAGTTAAATGTTGCACTCGCGTTTATTATGCCGCTGGATAATCAACCCTCGGTTGGTCTCTAAAGTTGATAGCTTCTTTCCGGCGGCGGTCTCCTCGAGCATTCATCGTTCCATCACGCTTCTCACGCTGAAAAGCCCGGCAAATATGGCAAATATACGTGGCAAGGTGTCTATTCCGTTAATGAGAATTTTCACTTTGGCTCTTCTTGCGTTCGCTCATCGAACGCAAGCCGGAATCCGGACGAGTGAATGGAATTTCAAAAGCGAGGGTTGATCCTCACGTTGGGATAAAGGTGTACGTTTATTCTGGTGCAAGTGTACTTTGTACACAGTGCGAGTATTTAATGGCTTTATCTTTATAGGGCACGCCGAACCGGGAAGAGCTGGTTAATGTATTCATTCGGAGATAAAATGGAAAATCTGAGTTTTACAAGCTGCCGCTCAACTGCGAGAATAAGAATACGGCTGAGGCACGTAGCAAGTCGCCTTTTTTTACCGCCTTATTTCGATCTTCTGCCCTGGAGATCTTCCGAAGGTGTCCGATGATTTCTACTAATCCAAGTGTTGATTTAACGACTTTTACTTTGTCGGACATCTGCGAGTTATCGAGCATTGCGGTTTGTTGAAATTGTCATTTTGAGCAAACGCTGACAAGATGGTACGTGAGTTGAAGACCTGAGTCGGACCTATTTAAAGCATCGTGAAAGCAGAGGCTCCGCCGGTGATGATGAGGATCATACCGTTCGATATCATGGTTCACGGCGATTGCCAGATAAGATACAATCGCAACGTCGAAGATTTAAGGGATGCGCGGAAAAGAGAAACGTGACAGAACGTCAGGATAGCTGAATTAACGGGTTCGAGTTCTTGGCACAGCTGGAAGACGTACCTAGGACACGTATCCACGTATAGTTGGGAATCACTGCGTCAGAGTTCTCTCTCGAGCTCGTGTCGGAATATATGTAGCTACGTGTATAGATAAACACATGGAGAGAGAGAGAGAGAGAGAGAGAGAGAGAGAGAGAGAGAGAGAGAGAGAGAGAGAGAAGGACGAAAAGTGGAGACGATACATGCATCCCGTGCTTCAGAATGCACACATGTCTCAGGTATTCGTACACGTATGTGTACTTACGTGTGGGTGGTTAAGTGCACGTTGCGCGCGGATCTAAGAAAAGAAAGTGGATAAACAGAGACGAGGGGATCGGGAGAACGGGAGACAAGAAAAATCTCGTCGTCGATAAATTCGCTAAGATCTTCGACGATGGGTGGAAGGGTAGGAAGAGTGGCGGTGTAAGAAAAGAATAGGAGAGTGTACGAAGCAGGGAGCATTGTGTTGACTCTCCGCGCTCTTGAGAACACGCTCTCTCGTCCATCGATATTATACACAGAGAGTTGAAGCAGAGAGTAGTGCATTGTAATGAAACACGGAAGAAAGTTAAGGGCCCATCGATCGTTTAAACCCTCTGCGCGCTTGCTCGAATACACGAGCCAGTTGGAAGAAAAGTCAACCTAAGCTAAGAGCAACTGTGACAGACTTTAATTTTATCAACGAATCGTCGAACATCCACAAATATCAACGTCAAGGACTAGATCGCAAGGAATTGAAATCAAAAAAAAAAAAAAGGAGGTTCACAGTCAACGTCCTGGGTCAATGCTCAGACTGTACACTGTTCAGGTTCGCGCGAGCACCGGTGAAAAAAAAAAAAAAAGAATCGATCCCCACGGGATGATCCTCTTCTTTTCTTTTCTTTTCTTTTCTTTTTTTCTCTTCCGTTTCCAGTGTCGCGTTAAGAGAAATAGAGCTCGGGACAGAGGGCGAAGAGAGACACCTGACCTTGCTCAGTGAATTAAACGACATCGCGGGTTGCCTCCGCGGAGAATAGGTGTCGGTGTCTTTTTTAATTAAAATTCTTTCGTTACACGACAAACGTAGCGAAAGCGGCGGAGGGAGGGGGAGAGGGAGGGAGAGAAGGACGAGAATAAAGAATGGGAGAGTAGGAAAGGGTGGCCAGAAAGAGGAGCGGCTCTGTGCGAGAGAGCTTTTAATTAGCTATCAGCGCGAATGTTTGTTACCGTTTGAAGGAGAGCCCGGTTATACCCAAGGAGGGAAAACGGTGAAACGGTGAGTCGAGAGGGGAAACTCGAGCGAGTCGAGGACGAGGGGTAGGGGAGAGGGGGTCGACGTTATGCAATCCTCCTCTCGACCTTCCCGAAGGAATTTATCATCGGTTTCCTACGAGCTTCTTCTCTTCCCCCTTTTGTTGCCTTTCAACGACGAAATACGAATTCATTCGACGATTGAATTCCGTTATCACGGCCCCGCCTCGATCGTCTCAGCTATCGTCACCGTACATTCGCACCCTTTCCGCGATTTTAGTTTCGGCTCCCGGCTACATCTTAAATGGAGGCACGTTTCCGCGAAAGATCTCTGGACCTTGTTCGACAATTGTACACGTCGTTTTGTATCGTCTTTGTCGTACGTACGTGCACTGTCACGAAAGTTAAAATACCGTCCCGAGGCTCGAGGCACTCGAGTAATCAACGGGACACAGGGGAGATATTTCAACGATGTTATTATTGGCTTTTCGCCCTGCACACACGTGACTTGACGCTGATGTCAGAAAATTGGAAAAAGCCAGCAAACTGCGAGAACGAACGAAGGGTAAAAAGGGTGAGGGAGAAAGAGAGAGAGAGAGAGGAGACCTTTCGAGAAGTCGAATGGCTCGTTACTGACCTTTAGACACGCGTTAAGCTGTCACGGTACACCATCAATCGTCAATCGAACGCGCACATCATCGTAGGGATCACAGGTATCGCGAGTGAGATCAATCAGTTTGGACGAGCGTTGGTTCGGCGAGACGGACACGAACGTGCTGGTCACGTCACGTCTATAAGCATCGCCGCGACCGCGAGCCTCGTCGAGACTGTTGTCCTCGTCGTTCATGCCAGAAGCGCTAGCTTCCGTCGTTTGCCTCTGCTTCTACCTCTGCTGCTACTGCTGCTGCTGTTGCTGCTGCTGCTGCTGCTGCTGCTATCGTTACCATTCACCACCATGATCTCACACGACTCTTCGTCCACTTCGTCATCTTCTCTCTCGACCACCTATCAACGTTCCTACCACTGGCTACTAGCCTCTTACTCTCGATCTCGTTCCGACTGCTGATCGAGTATCAAGCCAACAACCGCCTCGCACATCGGAAACGGAACGAACACTTGTACCTGACACGTACTACAAGATTTCCCTAACGAGTACACTAACTACCGCTTGGTCTCACGGTCCTCGCACTGTGAAGAAACGACAGCTCCAGATAGAGATACACAACGACACCACGTAGGCAAGTTTTATGCAGGCAGTTACTCGCGGGAGGAAGACTCGCCACTGTCACGGGGTCTCGCCACTATCGTGGAGGAGACGATGGTAACGCGGCTGGCATCGGGAAGAGTTTCTCGCGCGCGGGGGTGGCTGTCAACAGCGCCCGAGGTAGGCAACCGGACTGACTCCGCACTGCACGGTGTCGGCGACAGACAGCGCGACCACCGACGAGACAGAGATCGATGGATCGGCTTTCGCTGTACCCGAGAGGGATGAAACGAGAGAGAAAATCCGCGAGAGGCGGCGGCGGCTACCGAGGTGGATCGCGAGAGAAACGAACGACGGCTGGGAGGGGAGAGAGCAGCCAGTCGGGGGTGCACGAGGATTGGCAGGGGTGGATAGGAAGGGGAAACGTGGCTTTGCGAGAAAGACAGCGGTGGTGGAAAATCTGTGGTGGCACGTGTGCCAAGGGGGTGGAGGACGGGTAAGAAAAAGACGGGACGCTGGTGGAAGGGAAAAAGTGCGAGGATAGGGAAGTGGGCGGCGAGGAACGTCGGTAACGACGAAGGAAGAAAGAATTGGAGATCGGTGAGAATAGAGAGGGATGGGAAGGTTAACATTGTAAGGAGATTCGGGAGAGATTGGTCAGAAAATAGGAAGAGCACGAGAGAAGTGACAGAAATAAAACGGGAAAGCGGAAAAGCTTTGATGGAAAGAGGTAAGGGAAAAGGGATGGGAAATGGAGGAAGGATACCTTTGGCTCGAAAAATAACCAAGATGTCTTGAAGAGTATGAAAAATATGATGCAAGAAGAGTGTAAGAAACGATGACGAAGGTAAAGAAAGAGTTGGTTGAGGAGAGAAGTCAATTTGGAGAATTTGAGACTAGAAAGAGATAGTGAGATTGAAGGGGGTGGTGAAAGACTTGGATGGAATAGAATAAAGGAAGGAGAGGAAAGAGAGAAGAATGTTGACGAAACGAGGGGAAAAACCTCGTGAAGGAGGAGAGGGGAGAGAGACTGAAAAGAGAAAGTTGTACGAGATGAAAGGACAACGATGAAAAAAAAAATACAACAAGAGAAGATAAAGAAATTCGCGGAAGGAAATGGGAGAGCCAGAGCCAACAGGGATAATTTTATGAACAGTGGAGCGAGAAAATCGTACGATAAGAGAGAAAACAAAAAGTACGGAAGATGCGCGAACAAGATAAGCGAAGCAAATAGATTAAGAGAGGCAGATAGAATAGTAAATGAGAGGACGCTAAAAAAAAGTAAATACAAAAGTGAAGCGCAAACGAGTATACAGGTAACAATCAAAAAAAGTGAAAGAAGTTCATTCGACGAAACAAAGGACAGAAAATTAAAATATGGATGGAATGAAGGAAAGTAAGAAAGGAGATTTCGTGCGAGTATCAGTTTACTGCTCGATGATATTATGGCAAGTGTCTTTAGACACAATGCTCGTCTCGTAATTGAATCGTGGCCAACGAGGAAGAAAAAGTGTGCGAAAGAGGCGCGAGCTAGTAAACTCCTTGAAAATTTTCCCGCTTTTTTCCGTATTTATTCTCGGGATTGAGCTTGAGGGGAAAATTAATTCTTCGAACGCGTGATATCCTCGAGACGGCACGTATATGGGTACAATCATATCGAAAATGACTTTATAATGTCTAATCATACTGTAAAATAACTGGCAGTTATGGCATATCACAAGAATAATACACGAAATAAAAAGTTTCGTTGCCATTTCAGATATCTATCTCTAAAGATAATTCATTTTCAACTCGATCATGTATACAATTTCAAAATTTTTTTTCTTTTTTTCTTCTTTTTTTTTTTTGCTTCAAAAAGGAACTATTATTTTTTGCGCGCGTACATTATCTCAGGAAAGCAGAACTTTTAGTACGTCTCCCCCTTGAAAGAGATCGTTTCAAAGAAGAAAAATAACAAGGAGGAAGTATAATTTGATCGCTTACCGCTACCATGTAGAATTTAAAGACGATCGATCAATCGAGCCCCGTGGTGTTCGACGCGCGATTAGAGGCGGCGCATCTTTTCCATATTCCGGATCAATAATCGACGTATTCTTTCAGGACGATGGTAGAACGCATGCCGGAAGAAGCCGAGAAAGTTGCGGCGGGGTCGGACGAAATATCGCCAACGCCTTGATCAGCCTTGGTCTGAACGCTACGCGGTTAATATCTGTCGTTGGTAACGACCAGCCTGGGAAAGCTATAATTAAAAGTCTAGGAGATGGTGCCCAGACCGTCGAGCAGCTGTCAAATATGAACACAGCTAGGTACGCGTACCCCTCCCCCAATTTGCCGTGAATGCTAGATCATCGACATCTATGTATTGATCACGTTCAATTATCTCAACAATTACTAGCTTCTTTCTGTTCTTCTTCTTATCGATTAACACACGTGAAATCAGAGAGTTTGATTTTTTTTTCTCCCTCTTTCTCTTTCTGTGCTTAAATTCAGCGATTATAGATTTTAAAGAAAAACTTGATGTTCATTATTGATGTATTTATCAAATTCAAAGTTTGCTTATTATAATTTAAAGAAACAAAACTATTCTTGTGCAGTACTGAATCCAAAGACAGTAAGAAGCTCGTCATTGATATTAATGGTTATTGGTTTCTGTAGCAAATGGCTGATCGGAACAACCATTGACCCCGTAAATACTACTCGAGACCACTTGTCACCGATTTCCAATAGTTATTCTTTTGCAAGCTTTGAATTCATTCTTTCACACGTTGGAAGAGACATCTCCTTCTATCGCTACACGTACAAATGTGAAATAGATATTCTTTCCATTTATGTTTTATTTGCTTTTTTTTTTTAAATACGCTTTTATGCTTGATAATTCAAGGTGTACCGTAATCATCAATTACAAGGGAGAATGTCAATTTTCAATCGGTGAAATGGAAATATTTGCTAGTATCAGTCCAGATGTGGTGAAGAAATACCAATCGTGCGTGGAAAACTCGAGCTTCATTGTTCTCGATGGCAATCTACCGCTGAACACGATACGATATGTATTGGATCTTGCAGTATGCTCAAAAATTCCAGGTAGGTGATAGTTTTATAAGTTTTCACTTTTTTTTGATACTCTTTTATTGGGGCATTAGTCTCATAAGATATTCATTGTACTTTCAAAGTATATGATATAAAATTTTATATCTTTGATCCTTTGACATTAACGTTTACTGTATAAAACTGTGCAATAAAAAATATAATTACAGAGATACGTAACTTTTATGAGTTTTTAATTTCAATAATTTTTGTCACAGTTATTTGATGTTTGTAACATATAAAATATTCTAATATTAAATATATATTTATACGTATATATAAAATAACAATATAGAAATGTAAAAATAGTTCTCTTAATCTAATGATATAGATTTTTGTAAAAAATGGACGGAGTTAAATATTATCGCAGAAAATGCGCACTGAATTACAGAACAGTATCACATAACAATGTGACTTTGAAAGCAGATCTATGAATCTCCATTTATAATTAATGTTATTGAAAATGGTTAAAAATCTCTATGTGAACAAATCGTGTTTGGATACTATCAATATAACGAAGGATTATATATACCCTCCCCTTGATAATCCTTGATGACTTTGTAAATTAGGCTGCATTTGCATCACTAAATTTCGAGATTCTTTGCGCAATCTATAACCAGCTTTTGCATCCAAATACAACAAACATGAAGCTAACCAATGGAACATGAATGAAATAACTGCCAAACCATACGACCATGATAAATGATTGAAGTTTGGATACATTAACCAGTCTCTACGCCAACATTGCCCTCCAAATATTGACACTGCTAAAAACAGTAAAGTACCTGAAATTTAAAAATCATTTGAAAATCATAGATACGTCTATGCAACTGATATTGTAATACTGAAAAACTTTATTTACCTGCTGTGACGCAACACACGAAAGCAGTGGCTGAAAGCAACCATTCATAATTCAATACAAATTTCAAAGGCCAACGGACTAAGGTCAACACAATCACAGCTTGCGCAAAGAATGAGAGTAAAAGAGCAAGTGTCACAAACGTTTGTACAACCATCAACCATCCTGGCAATAACCATTCTCTGATCACGTAATATTCTTCTGAGAAAATATGATGACATCCATCAAATTCTTTGTCAAACTGATAATATGGATATCTAAATTGTTTGAAACAATATTCCCAAAGTCCCATATGTTTAAAATTGCTGAATGTCTCTTGATAAGATTCAATCCAATAGGGACTGAAATTAAATTAATTCAACATTCAAAACTGTTATTAAAAATAAGGAATATTTATAAAAAATATTCTATTGTATATCAAATATCTAAAGAATTCCAGAATTAATATTACATGACAAATTTTAACGTTTGAAAACGATTACCTGGTAAACGCTATGACCAACAGTAATCCAGCAATGTATGTAATTACTCCACCGAGTACTACCGCGTCTAAAAAAGATATGAACAATTAATAGAGGTTATGAATGTTCTTCATTTAGAGCAAGGCTAAAGAATAATATTGCTTACTTGACGCGCGGTGATAATCTTGTTTATCGATAGACATGCCGATTGTTTGATATTGATTAGTGATCTACGTTAACAAATCGTTTGTTTATAAATGTCAAAAATATTCTGTTTAACGTAAACTGGCCACACCTTTCATCGTTTCAGTACTGCCAACAATATAACTTACAATTAGTTAACATCCTATAGGATTTCTGCCTATAGTCAGATCAGTGATTCTCAAACTAAAACGAAATAATATATAAATAATAACTCTTGAACATTTAATTTTATTTTTATTGAAGTAAAGATATATTACAAAAAAAAACGATGTGTTTAGATAAAAACAATTCTTTCACAATTTACATTTAAGGACGGATAATTAAATTAATACGTATATAAATCTTGTACGTATAAATTGACCACTGGCAGTAGATGTTTACATTATAAAATTTATACAACTTTCTATAACAATTTTTGCAATTTGTAAGAAAAGAAAATCTTTCTATTAAATACAGTTGAGAGTACTCTTCCTTCACTAAAGTAATTAGCTTTAAATATATATTAATTGCTTAATATATTGCCGACGAATACTCAAAGTATTTAGCATAGAGAGATCTCTTTCTCAATACTATTCGATACAATTTTATACACTTGTATATATAAAACTTACAAAAATACAAATCTTGCTTTACAACGTACTTTGTACTAGAATAATGAAAAACATGTCTTACACTCTACTATCGTTAAAAACTATTCAATACATGGACGGAATAATATTACAAAGTTTTGATACTAAAATATTGTGCAAGTCTTATGTGATAATAATGTTCTAACTCATGTACGAGATTCAAGCTGAAATCTTGTTTGAGATTCTTTCAAATACTCTCTCTTCTTATGTTGAAGATTTGCTTCAACAAGGAAAAGTGCTCCTGCTATAATAGTCAGTATGCTACCCAGAGCTGCCATTATAAAGGACCAGCCAAAGAAATTATTTGCATGTCCAGGCATCCAGCCATCAGTGTTTCCCAAACAAGCAAATATAATTACAGCTAATCCACCACTTATTCCACCAACCAGCAGTAAACCTCCAATTATCATGATAAGTTGTACATAACGTTTTTGCTCTGGATCGCAGCACAGAGTGAACAGTAATATCAATACGAATGATATCATAGTCAAGAGGAAGCACAAAGTAAAGAAAAACTGTGTTGCTATCATAAATGCTGTAATAAAGAAATTAATAATTATGACACACAAAATGAGAACATACCGCTTTATTAAATTTATAAATATTAATAAAGATGATTGAAGAAAAAAAGAAGGCACTCACGAGGGAGTAGAAAACCTCGAATGTCAGAGTATCCTGCGGTGAAGGGATCATACACCCATCTACAACCAACGAAAAAGCGTCTTGGTGCGTCCATTTCTTGAGGATTCGGAAGTGATCTAAAGCAATGCGTCCATAGGCCTAATTTGTCGAGTTTTGCACCAGTGATACGATAATCGCTCACTAGCCATGCTGGTGTACCAAATGCAACGCAAACACACACGAGACCAACAATGAAGACACCGACACCAACATTACCGGAGAAGCTTCTTTTCTTCATTATGAAAGATTTGTAAATGATCACGATCTAGATGCACGTACGGCAAACAATTTAAATCTACTGATCTAGTAAAGATCCCACGGTATTAACCACACCCAAACACGTTATGTTGTGTGGTGACCATGTAGCTTACCATCTAACCTAACCTTGTAAAATCGTGAGTATCCCACGAGTGCAAACTAGTAGTTATGACAAAGAAAAGGTTCTCAATGCCTAATTAACATACTTAATATGTCAATCACGTTTAAAAAAAAGATATTGATGGAACTTTTTTTCATTGTCTAGTAGAAAATTTATGTAATATAACAAATATTTACTGAACATTTTTATAATAAAAATTAACGATAATTATGTTGATCTAATCACAAAAACATTATTGAAAATTATTAAAAAGTGTATTAAAAGTTTCAGAAATTTGTATAATATTATAGGTAGAAAAATTTTATGCTAATGAAATATTTAACAAAGAAAACATTACAGAGTATTAATGGTAAAGAGTATTAAAATGGGAAACGCTGCTCGTATGAGAATTTTTATGTAAATTTCTTGTATTATGATATTGCGTCATTGACGTTTTACATGAATTATTTTTAAATCATAAAATCTCAAAAAATAAATGGAAATATTAAAATTACTTAAATCAATTTTTTTTTTTAACTTTAATCTTTCGTTTTTCAAATTTAGATTTCCGAATTAAAATGTTAAATTTAAAGAGACAGCCGCGAAAAATAGTTTTAAAACTGTCTAAAAAAAAATTGATATCTCGAATTTTGTAGAAAAAAATTTATTTAAATTTATTTAAATTATTAATAAAGTTCAATTAAGATTCTTGGAATCAACTTATTCCGTCATTTAGCTCATGATTCACCGTGATGCAATTCACATAATTTAAATCCATTGAAATTATGCGACTTAGTTCTTTGCATTAGATTTCAATTAGAAAATTGAAAAATACTGCGAACGAAATAAATCAAGATAAAATTGGAATTTATTATTCATTTCAAATACGCTGTTTTATTAATCATTTTACGCTTCCGTAAATATTGTCAAGTATCAGAGGGTGATACAGAACCAGTAGTAACACCTTTCCAAGTGTGATCGATATAGTACGCGAAATTGTAGAAGTTGTTGATTAAAATAGGAGCTAAACTAGGTCAACGACTTACACCTAACGTCGATCTTCGTGCACGCAATCTTAGTCGTAACTCACGTTGAATTATTTCCCCCCCGATAGTAAAATGGGTCAGAGTTTGACCGTGTTTACTCTTTGGAATTTAATTATTTTCCTGTCCGAATTTTTCCAGTGAATAGCCATTTACCAATTTCAAAGACAAATTTTATGGAGAAATTAACATAAACACGAAGAGAGAAAATTTGAAACAAGTTACTTTATTACTGCCCAACTTCTCGTACAATTTTATAATATTAAATATTAGACTTCAGTTAGATAATTAACATCACTTATTTCTATAGACTCTTAGTCTTTTCATAAACTCTTAGTCTTTTTTATGGACGGATTCGTTAGCAAATTTTATACGCGGATTAGTTTATAAAACAATAAATGCACTTATATACGAAACTTTTCATTACAAGTTACAAATATATGAAATATTTTCTTTCTATATATTGCTACCTTCAAATTTTCGCAAAAGTATATAAAATATACAAAAGATAATGCACTTTGTTCGTAAATGAGCGATACTTTTAAAGATAATAAATATAAATATTAAAGTATATGAATATCTTCAAAAAGTTTGTGCAGAACATACAAAAAAATAAGTCTAAATTTAGATCTCCTATCCAGATCTTCAATATCATGGATAATTTATCATACAGTCATCTTTAGTGATGAAGACTATGTTCAACTTAAATAGTAGTATGTGTCTTCTGTTCTTCATGTAATATTTTTTCTTGTTTTTTTTTGTGTCTACGGCCTTCAATCAAAAACAATGTACCTGATATAACTAAAATAAAACTACCAATTACAGCTAATGCATAAGACCAGCTAATATCATTATGTTCCCAATTAGGCATCCAATCTCTACCATCGCCTCGTGCGCCAAATATCATAACGGCAATAATGCCACATATTCCACCTAATAACAAATTTCCACCAGTTGTCCATAAAAGTAACTGATATTTATCATGACGCTGTGAGCAACACATATACAATGCAGCTAAGAAACCTCCTATTAATAATAAAGTCAGACATAAAGTAAAAAAGAATTGCGTTGCAACAAAAAAATCTGGCAGGAGTATGTCATGTATTATGTAATATTCTTCTTCAAACACCCACCAACAACCATAAAATTTAGTATCATACAAGTGATGTGGATCTTCAAATCCTTGAAAACACACTTGCCATAAACCTGCAATAATAATGCATGTTATATTAGTGACAAGTGATGTAATATTTAAATGACATTTTTCTTATTAGAATGAAAACATTATAAATCAAATTACCAATTCTGATAAATTTTGGACTTTCCAATTTTCCGTCTGTTTCAAGCCAATTGGGTGTGGTGAATGCAATTATAATAAAAACGAACGCCAGTGCTGTACATATAACAGCAGCCTTTCCATTTCGAGTTTTACCCATTCTGGGCAACTGTTTTAATTCTTAATTAACAGTTTCTAATTTATTATTATTTATGCGTTGCAAAGTGTTTCTTTTTTTTTGGTTGCAACATGTAATTAACTTACACATACACTGTTTTGAATGAAATATGCGGTTAATAGATATCTATACAGATGAAGAATTTTTAGCGCTTTAGCAGCGCTCCATGTTGCAGCGAATGCATTTACATTTAGCGCCATTATTTAAATAGCATACTGAAATAAAATAACCGCAATAAAAATTGTATTCAATGTATTGAAATATTTTGTTATGTATTAAAGATGATATTTTTATTAAATTGAAAATAATAAAAAGTATTTTATATAAACATTTCTTAACATAAAATTTAAAATATATGTACAGCTTTTCTACTTTGTATACATTTTAAACATTTGTTTATTAACATAAAATATAATTATATTCAAATTAAAATGTAATAAAATCAAATTTGTTTTTTTAGTTTGGTATGAACCTACAGATGTGAACAAAGCAACAAGAGTATTTGAAACAAAATCACAATGGCAAAATGTTTTACATTTTATATCACCAAATAGAAATGAACTGTCAGTTATTGGGAAATATCTTGGCATACCAGTACCTGACAACAAATTATTTATGGATTTAGAAGAAGTAAAAGCAATTGCAGAGCAAATAGCTGAATTTATCCCAGTGGTTATAAGTACATTAGGATCACATGGAGTATTGGTAAATATTTAACAATTGAAATAAATCTGAAAAATATAAATATAGGATTAAATAATTGACATTACTTTTTGTAGGTCGCTCGTAAAGCCTTCGGAAATGATCCCTTTTATGATACAGAAGGAAGATTGGTTGCTCACACTATGATAACATCTCGCTTATATCCTCCCTCATCTTTTATTTCTGATGATCCAAATGAAACATTCAATGTGAGTGGTTGTGGTGATTGCCTTACTGCTGGAATAATTTATGGAATTCATAAAAATCTAGATGAAACCAGTTGTCTTTCCTTAGCTTTAAAGGCTGCTGCACTTTCTTTGACTTCATTAGATGCAGTTCCTACTTCACTTTCATTATTATGCAAGGATATAAAATGTAGATAAATATTAACAATTAAAAACTATATATTGATACAAACTATATATTTTGTTTTCTAAAATATATATTTATATTTGTTTTCTAAAATATATATATACATTTTTCTAAGATTGAGTGAATGGATAAATTTTAATAAATAATTAACAGCTATATAATTGTAATTAGTAGCTATGCCTTTATATAAGCTAATTATCTTCCTTCTTCCCCCATTTCTTAACAAATTCGGCAACATTAAATTTTCGTTTACATCCCTCATAATTCATGTATCTTATTTTCCCAAATATATCTCTTTCTGACCAACCATGATCATGGACACCACAGATAGACCACATGCAACCTATAAAACAAATACAATGTACTATCTCATATAAAATACAAGTATTCATACACAAGTATAGATAGAGAACTGACCTACATAACCATTAGGGTCACAACCATCTATGCTATACTTATTATTTAAGTAATTGGCCCATTCTAATGCAATCTCGGGTGTTTCAGTCCATTCTAAAATTTTTTTTGCCCAATACATTCTTAAAAATCCATGCATCTTTCCAACTATTACCATTTGATTTTGACATGCATTCCATAGATCATCGTGAGTTTTAAAATTTTCTAATTGACTTAAAGAATATACATATTTTCGTTTATCCTTCCTAAATGTAATGTAATCAACTATTAGTAATTAATATACACAATTTATAATAAATAAAATAAATTACCTATGTTTATTTAATGTTTCTATAGCCCAAGGATAGGCACCTTCAACAAGATCATACTTTTCATTATAGAAACAAAAATTATCACTGAGTTCTCTTCTAATGATAGTTTCCTCCATGAAAGATTCGACTGACTTTTTATACAATCTTTTATATTCTTTTATTTCCAAAATACATCGTTGTACCGAGATCATACCAAAATGAAACCAAGGTGACAAATTACTAGTGGCATTTGATAAAGGATTATTACGCTCATCTCCATATTTTTGTAAACGATTCTGTATAAAATTTTCTAATTCCTTAATACCACCCATATACCCTGGTTCAGCCCATGTAATTTCATTCACCAACTTATCTGTATCTACATCTTGCAAAGCTATATCCCAATTATTGCTTTCAAAATTTTCTTTTGTTAAATATGGGTGCTCAATAACAGGAGGAAATTCTGTTAAAAATTCCTCTAGTTTTACATTTATTTTATTTCTTATAGTTCTAGCAGCAAATTCTTGCTCTGATGATGCATGCCAGCAGGGTACAATATTATGAGCATCTACCTTTAAAAAACATACATCAATCTCTCAAAGGATTATTTATAAATTGGATTACTAACTAAAATTATGTTTACTTGGCAAATAGGAATATTTTTTGGAAGATTCTTCTGTACATTATCAACCCAGTACATGGGTAACTTCAATGGATAAAAGTCCACAATCACAGCTCCCATGTTATACATTTTTACAAATTTAAGAATTCTCATATTTGGTTCGCCGTGCAAAAGATGAAAGTTTATCTTTAATTGTTTACATTCTTTTTCAATTTCTAATAATCCTTTCAAAAGAAATTTATAATATCTTATAGAAGCATTCAGAAAATTTGGCATTATGCAAAAACATATATGAAGAGGTACATCATTTTTTAAAGCAATTTTTTGGGCAAAAAGCAAAGCCCAATTATCTGAAAATATTAAATTTTATCAATACTACTGCACGAGTTACAGTAAAACTTAGAAATATATACCTTGTATCCTAAAATCACGTAACATCCAATACAAAATACCTTTACAGTTTTCTTTAACATCATTTAATTTACTTAAACGACGAATTCGTTTTTTATTAAAACTGAATGTCATGATGGATTCAGATGTCTAAAAATATATTAAGAGGCAATAAAATATCCAAAAACGTTTAGTTTATCAATTTTTTCAAAAAGAAAAATTGTCTTACATTTCTTCTGTTTTCTTCAAATTTTTTTAAAAGGTCGACAACTTTTTTGCGTTTAGATGGATTTAACTGATTCATATTTCTTAATAAAATTTTATTTGTATTATATAATACTGGAATAATACACTGGAATAGTTATTTTTATAATAGCTTTCGCACAACCTGTAACTATTAAATCATACAACGCAATACGCATTTTACAGGTTAGAATATGTAAAATATAGTACAATTTGTCTAATTCATTGTTAGTTACAGTAATTGTAACCAATTTAGAATTAAAAACCCGCCATTTTGTAATAATAATAAAGTTTTTCGATTTGTTATTTCCTTCAATTAGTTGTCTTATTAAGTCTATGAAATTTTTTAGATTTATTAAACGCAAACAGAAAAATACATACATACATACAGTCGAAGGATCCCTTGCAGCATTAAAGTGAAAGAAAACATAAAAGTGGATAGGTGAAAAATGATTCAATAGTACATACGACTCAAAGCAATTTATTTTATTTCCTTATAACATTTACAATAGATTTCTTATGCATTAAACGTAGCGCATCGAAATGTTATTGAATTGTCCGTTTCTTTGTTAATTTCTTGATACGATTATTAAATTAATCAAAACATGTCGAGGAGTATATATATATTACACAACACATTCTAATACACACTATTACACGATTATAACAAGATAGGAAAGAAATATGCACTCAAAGCAGCGCCAAATCTTGCTAATAAGATAAAACAAATAGGTTACCTATTAATTGTAATATTATCTTCGTTCTTACATATACATGTCTTTATCCACTTGGCAAGTTAGAACATACCCAACTTCACCACATTGTGTGGGCCGTGGAATATGTAAAATGTGTAGAAATCAACTATTCCATTCGAGACACAACGTACTGATACGCACTTACACAACGTACAACGTTGAATCATAATGTCTATCACACTGTGAAGGGAGAACAGCCAATAGAGAAAAGCTCCGCGAAATCACGTGATTCGCGACGCAGTGTACCACGAGCGAAGCGAAACTACCGTCAACAGAGACGAATGAAACTTCGAGAGAGAAGGTTAAGTTTTGTTCTCATTAAGTCGAAAGAGTAAGAAAGAGCGACAGGTAAAGAGTAGGACAACTGTACACACATCATCTGTGGTAAGAAAAGAGATGAAAGACTGAGAACGATAGAAACTGTGAGAAGATAAAGGATATTGTGATAGCGAAAGTGAGACAGAAAGAGAAAGAAAAGAAGAGAAAGATACAGGTAGGGTGAGGATAGGAAAAGAAGAGAGGAACGAACGAGAGAACAAGCGGACAGACTGGCAGACGGACTTCTCCGACTCACGACACGACTACTCGCGATCTCGTGGCTGCGTTTCAGCTGCTGTCCTGCTGTTCACCAGGCACATTCAAGCACCAGAAGCGCGCGACGTAGCAGTAGATATTCAGTTTGGTGTAGAAAAAGATAGAGAAAAGGACGTATACACATACATATATATATATTAATATATATATATATACATACACGTATACACACATATATAAATATAGGAAGAAAGAAAGAGAAGTAAAAAGAAAAGAAAGAGAGAGATCGAAAGAGAGTAAGAGCGAAGCGGGCGCCGTTACGATAAAAGAAGTTTTTCATAGAGCGTATTCGGGAGCGTTCAATGGTCGAAGCAGCTATGCGCCACGCCGTCGTAGGGCTGTTAGCTAGCTAGTTCTGACTACGGGAGGTCTCGGGCCGCAGTTACGACCTCGAGAACGAGCGGGTTCGCCTCGCGAAGATGACCATAATAGTCTTTTTGATCGACACGTCGGCCTCCATGAATCAGAGGGCATATTTGGGCGGGCGACCCACGCTTTTGGATGTAGCCAAAAGCGCCGTGGAGACTTTCGTGAAGGTACGCTAGTCAGACAGCTTTCCCAGCCGGGAGATTCAATTGTGGTTACTGTGCTCAATCGTTAACTCGTGTTATCATTGTCAAAAGAAACAGCAACGTGCAATAACGGATTCCCCGTGTCTTGTTCGTTTTCCTGCAACTCGTAATTTTTCAATCGGTCAAACCTTCTTTTTTTTTCTTTTTCTTTCAGGTGAGGCAAAGATCACCAGAGAGCCGTGGAGATCGTTATATGCTCCTAACCTTCGAAGATCCGCCCCAGAATATTAAGGTATGTTTCAACTTGCTTATAACGTTCGTATCTTTCACGCTTTTTGTCCTTTTCCCGTTCTCTCGTTCCTAAAATCATCGTATCTCTTTCTTACATGCACACGTACGCTCTCTGTGCTGGGCTCCTACATACAGTGTCCCATGCATAAAAGTTTCGATTATATTTTTTTTCTCTCGAATATCTTCTCCGTTTTCCCTTTCGAGTGCATTCACGGTTCGTTGTTTCATGCGGCCAGTCGATATATTCATGGAAAATTGCCGTATTATTGGTCCCCTTCGATTGCTGAATAATTGATACTCGGCAAGAAGGTAGCAAAGTGCAGCGTGCACTTGCCGTATCTTCCGTCCTCCGTTACGGAAGAGCAGCATTGTGGGTAGTAACATGGGGTGGGGGCCTGCCCACGAGGGTCTCTCTCTCTCTATGGTTACATGCGCGCCAAATTTATGATTTGAATTTATTTGATATAGACGATTTTATTGACAAGACAGTCGTATTGTTTTTCCTTTCAAATTTTGCGATTCTGCGCTTTATTTATTTTCCTTCAAGCAAATCTTTTTTATTAATTCTTACTATTCTTTAGCAATAATATTTTGATTTAATCCTATTTAGTTTTGTATTTATATTAAATGTATTTACAAGTTGAAGTGAAAACATTTCTTTTTTCAGAATTGAAACATGATGATCAATTAAAAGTCATTTAAGGTTGGAAGTTGTTATAAGGATTAAGGTACTGTTGTCAGTTTGATAATGGCAGAGAAGTAAAATAAATTTTCCATGTGATACTGGATCCTGAGACAATAAAGAATTATCATGAAAGCAAATGTAAACTGATATTTTTGGCACAACGATAAGTTACGAAACTCATCAGTATGGTAGATAATAAACATTGTAAATTTTTGTGTGGCTATTCTTTATTGTCTGAATATTTAATGTTACATGGAGGTCCTCATCATTGCGGAATAATTTTCTTCTCCTCCATTGCTGAACTTTATTGACAGAACTTCAAACCTTACAATAAGTTATAATTTTGTATCTTTCCTAAATTTTTTTAAAATTGAAGCTAATCATCATCATTCATCATCTTTCTTGCTTTATTATAATTTATTTAATATATTTATTTAAAAATTAAATATTAAGATATTTCATATTTAACACAGAAAACATTTCAATGATATATTATATCATACTTCATGATTATTGTTATTGAATGATTACATTGAAAAAGAAAATATTTTCTCTTAATTTAGTCTCTTTTTTTTTTTAGGCTGGATGGAAAGAGAATTTAGCAACTTTTATGAACGAGCTTAAAAATTTACAATGTGTTGGGTTGACAACATTAGGTGCTGCTTTGAAACATGCTTTGGATGTTTTGAATATAAATCGTATGCAAACTGGTATAGATACATATGGACAGGGAAGATGTCCCTTTTATTTGGAACCATCTGTAATTGTTGTAATTACAGATGGAGGAAAATATACAACTAATCAAGGAGTGAATCAAGATGTAAGGTTTTTATATTTATCTATTTATTTTTTTGTAATATTTTTGCGCTTTATAATATAAAAAAACAATTAAGACATAGAAAAATAATGGTTATAGTTCACGTTGCCGATGCACTCTCCCATACCTGGATCTGAATTAACAAAGGAGCCATTTAGGTGGGATCAAAGATTATTTTCTTTGGTACTCCGTTTATCTGGAACGCCTGCTGTTGAAAGGGATACGGGTTTAGTTGCAAGTGATGCATCTCCTATAGATGCCATGTGTGAAGTTACTGGAGGTATAAAAAATATTTTTATAACGTAATTTATTTCATTCTTGTTCATAAGAAATACTGACATAAAAAATATATTACTCATTGTAGGTCGTTCATATTGTATAACATCTTTTAGAATGATGATGCAATGTATAGATTCCTTGGTGCAAAAGGTTCAGTCTGGTGTAGTAATAAATTTTGAAAAAATTGGACCAGATCCTCCACCTTTAAATAACGAAACACAACACGCAGATGATGATGAAAATGAGGATGAAAATAATACAACGAATGGGGCGCGGACGTATCTTCCTAATCCAACGGTACCAGGAAATACAGCATGGCATTCTTGTAGAAGACTGATTTACGTCCCAAGATCTGCTCAAAAAGGTTTCGCAGTTGGATTCTGGCCGATTCCTGAAAGTTTCTGGCCTGATTTAAGTGCTAGTTCTTTGCCACCCAGATCGGCACATCCGAACGTAAAATTTACGTGCACCAGTCAAGAGCCTATGGTGATAGAAAATCTTCCATTTGATAAATATGAATTAGAACCAAGTCCATTAACGCAATACATATTAGCCAGAAAACAACCGACCATTTGTTGGCAAGTTTTTGTGGCAAATTCTTACAAATCAAGTGACGTGGGTCATCCATTTGGATATTTAAAAGCAAGTACTAATTTAACTTGTGTAAATCTATTTGTTATGCCTTATAACTACCCAGTACTTTTGCCTTTGTTGGAAGAATTATTCAAAGTGCACAGATTAAAACCAACAAATGAATGGCGAACGCAATTTCAAAATTACATGAGAACAATGCCGACTTATTATGCAGCGGTAAGTTTTTAATTGGTTATCAAAATACTGTTCATTCGTTACAATTCATTAATAAATTTGAATAACGTTATATTTTGGATTACAGTCTCTTAGAAGAGCTTTAACACGAATGGGTGCACCTGCACCATTAGCACAAACATTAATACCTGATAATATGGATAATTCGTTATCCTATAGTGTCTTAAATTATTTAAAACGATTAAAAAATCAAGCTAAAATCGAATTTGACAGACTATGTAATGAAGTTCTTTCCAAACAACTTGCTACTGCCAATATGACAAAAAATTTAGTAAATGGTAGTACAACAGTAACAGAAGGTGTAAGGGTTGTTCCTAGAACTCCTTTAAAGAAAGATTTGGTAAATACTTATTATCTATATAAATTCTATTCTTAAATCTACATAAATTTCTTACACAATTAATCTTGTTTTCTAATCTAACAGGTATCACATCCATTACTACAAGATAAATTTACTGGATTACGGGATCAATTAAATGAATTCGGTGGTTTTGTAGTCGGATTAGTTAGAAATCAACAACGTGGTGCGCATAGTTATAGGAACGCATTCGATGTTCCACGGAAATCCTTGTTAGATCAAGTTGTTAGAATGCGTGCCAATTTTCTACAACCTGGATTGTTGCATACAAAATTACTTGATGATGATTATGTTCACTCAATGCCCTTGGCACAAATGGGAAATTATCAAGAATATTTAAAACGTATGACGCCACCATTGAGAGAAATAGAAAGTGCTCCAGTTAGACAACATATGTTTGGTGATTATTTAAAATCTGTTTTAAGATTAATCTAATTATTTTGAAAGAGTATTTAATTTTTCGTGATTATGTTCCAGGTAATCCATTCAAGATAGATAAAAGAATGATGGTCGATGAAGCGGATATTGATATGGTTGGTGCAACATCTTCAACTTCTAAAGGTCTTAAACGTACTTTGCCTGCGTCGGATGGAGGAGGATCGCTTGCTTCGAAACCACCGCCAAATAAACGAAAACCAGGTCCAATTCCTAAAGATGTAGTCGTACGAAGGCCGTCGTATACACCTACGAATACTCCACCGAGTTCGCCGGTACCATGGGTTGATGATACGAAAAATCAAGTGACTCCGACTGCCGACTCGAATCAAGTTTCATCAAACATAACAACACCTAGTATATCAAATACACCGTGTATCACTTCGCCAGAGAAATTAGTAAATGGCCTTGCAGAAATGCCAACGATACCAGTTTTTGAACCAATTCCAGTGGAACATACTAACAATCACATGGATGCTCCACCAACTTTAACACCGATAGTTAATAATATTGATACACCTAAGAATGAAGAAAGAAAAACTGAGAAAACAGAAAATATTAAGAATGAGTGTAACAATCTACCTCCTAATGATTGTGTTGAAAATAGTGTGAAAGTTGAAAATTCGGTTGATGAACGATTGTCTAATCATGTCGAAGAAAAACGTGAATCTAAAGTAGAAAAAGACAAAACCTTAACGAAAAAAGAATTGGAGGATATTAGAAAACATAACTTGTCCGTTCGAGAACTTGTATATAAGGAAGTGCGAAGAAGAGGTACAAGTAAGTTGAAATGGATATTTCTGTTATTTCTTTATATGCATCTATAACCTATGAAGAAGCGAATTTATAAGGCGATTTCTATCAATAATTGTAATCTTGTTTCAGATTATGCAACACTATTTTCACATTTACACCAAATTCAAGGAACTCTAGATATACGACTTGCATTTTTACGAGATATTGTGAAAGAATCATTACGATTCAAAAGACGTAATTTGGCATCATTACTAGAAGAATATTTAAAAACTGTACAAGAAGATAACTGGACTGTAAATCATAAGGTGAATCATAATGGTGCCACAAAAATAAGTTAAGAATTCATTGCATAATCGGGGCATTATTTCGATAACAAAAATAAGAATTCAATGAATGAGATGCAGAAAGTATATTGGGATACAAAGTATCCCAATAAAAGCAAGTCGTACATCTATAAAGCGATAAGCGTGTTAGCGTTTAAGGATGTATTGCCAAGGCGCGTGAAGTGATAATAATTGTTAAACCTAATGAAACAAAATAGCATTCTGTACGTCAACCAAGGAGATATAGTTTCTATATTCCTTTTTTTCTTGTTCTTTATTTAGTTATTGTACAGTTGGTAGAAATATATTTTGTTCTATGTGAAAGTTAAAAAAATTTGTGTTGTGACAATAAAGTCTCTTTATACAATATTATTCAACATTTAAAAATTTGTAATTTTTAATTTTTGGATCTAATATTAAAGTAAAATTACTGTATGCAATTTATAGTATTTTATTATATTATCTTTTTTTCTTTGGAAATACAATTTGTATAAATTTTAAGTCTCGAATGCAGGAATTTGGGATACTCTCAATATTTTAAATAATAATTAAAAATTATAACTTAATTTTTAAATTATCCTATTTTTCGAATAAATTAATGTAAATATAATGTCCTGATAAAGTACAACATCGATCGAATAACACAATTCTACCAGCTGTACGACTAAAGATTCTTAATAAATTGAAATATAAATGACTAAATGTTTTCTTTGACTATATTTTCTTTATTTCTTTTTTTTTATATATAAAAATTTTAGCGCGAATGATATTGTGATTTAATATATATTGAATGCAGATTCAAGTTTATTAACATATAGTTTGTAAATTTAGTTGTGTATATTGTTAACAATATGAAAGTAAATTTAGATTTAATTTCTATAAAATGGAAAAACTGTTAATATGCAACTTTAGAAATTTAATACATATCTTCCGTTTAAAAAATGATTGTAAAAATTTAAATTTAATAAGTAATATTATTTTATCATGTATTTTACTAAATTAAAATACATTAAAAATAGAACTTGTTTGATCATGACGAATCTTTCTTTTTCTTTTTTTAGTAAACTGATTTTTCTAACTTTCTTAAAAATGAAATTTATTAGAACATTTCCAATGAAAGGTTGACAGTGCCTAATGCTATTGAGAATTAGTATAAAAAAGATTGTATTTATTTTTAATCCACTTCAATGATTTTGTTTCAAATGCAATTCTTATTAAGGAGTAACAAAGTATTGAACTGATTGTAAGAAATAATCAGAGCCAGCTATATTTGAAATAAATTTCATTGTTATTACTTTAGTCGTTATTTCACACTAAGATTGAAAAGATATACAATAATAGTGGATTGAAAAGATATACAATAATAGCAATGATTTATATAAATAATTAATAATGTCAAATTCACTTGTTGCTATTTATAAGGAGTAATAGTGATTTGACCAAATATTAAGTAGATTGTCCTAGATTAAATGATCAGGCAGATTATCTTACCTATTGATCAATTAATGAAATCATGAATATTATATCTAGATTAGAACTAAGGCAATCTCATCTACTTTTCATTTATTATTATTATTATTTACATAAAAATAAGAGAAAATTTTATGGGGCATGCTAATAAATTACAACATATCATCTATATCATTAACTAAATTTAAATATAAAAGGGTTTGTTTTTTAATTTTGTCTGAATGCATTTTTGTATGAAGAGTAAAACTATCGCCCTTTCATATTTAAATATACATTTCTTAGATAAGATAATCATCCTGAACTTTTTTACAGGGACACTAAATATCTATATTCTGCTCTTTGTAAATCTAGTAGTGAAATTGTATATCAAATAGTATTTATTAATTGAAACCGTTAAATGTTTAATAAATTATTTTATAATAATGGAGCTTAGCTGAGTCTTGAAGACAATGATGCTAGACGCTTATTGGCTCCAAAGAGAAATTAATAAGAAAGTTAAATGAATATAACACAAAGTGCGATTCTATAATGAATTATTAGGTGATAAGAAAAACTATGACGGAATAAGTAATGCAATTATAAAATTTTTGTTATAGAAATTGTAATTTTTTATTGCATCAATGTTTATTCAAACAGATTAATTGAAGATGATTATAAAAAAAACAAGTCAGATGTGTAGAAAAATATTGTGTGCTATTTTGATTAAGATAATGCATCTTGTAAGTTTATAAAGAAGTGTTTGTTTGTAATTTTTTTCATGAAAATGAATTTTATAATTGAAATATGTAAGAATCATTTTAAAAAAGAAAGATTATAAATTTAATACTTTTGCACATTAAAAAAGACTAAATTATATACTTTGAAGGAAAAGACTAGAAAAATATTAGTGTTTATAATTTTTTATGCCCTACAATCCATTAAATTAAGATGATTTTCTGTTTTCAGTAAAGTATTTTCAAATTATTTCTAAGTTTAATCCAAATTGTAATTTATCATGTCTATATTACACATGTGTTTTTATTGCATTGTTGAAAATATATTCAGTTGATTATCTTTGTAATCTAATACATTTCATATGTGCGTTATTGTACATATATCACTGTAAATAAGCATATATTAATGGTTAATATCAAAAGAACTTGATGATTGTTCCATTTTTACGTTTATATTTAAAAAGAGAAATATTGCAAATAAGATTAAAAAATAAATCAAAGGATAATTGAAACATTTTAGGTGGTGTATTATTTTTATCTAATGTTCTAATTTAACTTGATTACAAAAGTTATTTATTTACGCATCAAATTCATGATCGAGTATTTGAATACATAGTTAGAAAACGATTAATAGGTTAGGTTTGTCAGAGACTTGATATTAATATTATTTCAAATTTACTTTGCATTTCATTCTTTCGTGCGATCAAAAAATGTGAATGAAATAAATTGTCTAAAAATATAATAAAAATTTTGACAATTCGACAAATTTTATATCAATTCAACATTGTTTTGATTAAATAATCCGTACAATTTTATATTTTATACGTTGATTACACAAGTTCTTTTAACATTATTTAAGACTAAAAATTGATTGCAGCAGGAGTTTACATTACGAGTATATTCACATTATTAAACCTCATTCAATAAACTAATATCGATATTAAAGTATCTTAACGCGATAAAAATTAACAATCATTTATTGTTATTTCGGTTATGTTTACAACAGAATATTGTATATAAAACTTTTATGTTACTAATATTTATTGCATTTGTTCCCCCATGAAATTTGCTGACGTATGAAACCGACTTTATTATCAAACCTTATATATCTTTTGTTCTAACTATTAATAATAATGTTAAATTTGAATCAATAATATTGAAAGAAATTTTGATTACCTATATCTGTCATTTCGTTTGTTACAAAATTTGAATTTATGATACAATGTTGCAGCATATTTTAATAGTATCTGTAATTATATTAGTATTTTAAAACAAGATATTTATTCGCTGCTACAATCGACGAAATATTTTTGTTACTGGTGTAGGAAAATTATTACTAACGTGCGATTTGAAGAAACGAGATGTATCGATAATCAAAGTCGATATTGGAGACTTAAAAAAATCGGCAAGCAGGATATCCTTTGGAAGGGATGAGAGACGGTGGCCGAGAGGCTCACATCAAAATGGCCGCATTTTAGTCTACAGACGATTTTTCTTTACTGTTTGCCAATAGCCGCGTGAAGGGCCTGGCAGTGTTCCCTTAAGTGGCAGATCTGTTTCGCCGGAAATTTCGCTGTTGAATAATCTGAAAATTTTCGTGAAATAGAACAAACTTCGGTAAGAAAATTCAACCGCATAGTTCTGCTGCCAAATAGCCGGGCCAAGCCCATTGTCTATTGACTAGTTCATTAGAACAAAAATCTCTCATTCACATTGTTACGTGTATCAATTACGATCGAATTTCATTGGGTTCAACTTATAATATGGATAATACGATTTACATTTGCGAGTACTGTCAAATACCTGCTACTTCTAATCTCATTATTTTTAATATCGCAACGTGTAATATTTTACGATGTATTAATTTACTTCAGGTAATAGAAATCTACCTTGTGAAAAATTTTATACGCCTTTGTTGTTTAAATTATATGTCTCGTTTGTATGTAATACTTATATTAACAAATTAATACTTATTCTTTATATCAGAACATGTACGTACAGAAGAAATTTCATGGCAAGTTTTTTCATCTCGGAATAAAAGACGTATCTAAACGCCTTTGACTCAAGTAAATTTTGTAGGACATTTTTTATTCAATATTTTTGTTTATTTTAGGTTGCGTGTGCATAATTTTTGTACATGATGTTACGTCACCAACATCATACAATGCAAAACCAACTTCGAGATCATAACAGGTTTGTAACAATTCTTGTTAGTGTTATAAATGTAAAATTCTTTAAAACACGGAATTTAAATTTTTATAACATTTAAATTTTTATGTTTATCCCATCAGAATGGGTGGTCCGATGCGGCCTATGCAGCAGGCAAATATGGCCCCTTTACATCAGCCTCAGCATCCGTTACCGCATCGGAATCCTCATCAACAAATACTGTCCATGCCCCCCCATCAACAACATATTCATCACATGCAACACCCTGGACCACCACATGGAAATCCAAGGCAGCCAATGTTGATGGGCATGAATGCACACAATACAAATGGTACACTAAATAAAGTTCAATTTATTAATGAATTATTTTCAATATTAGAAAGCTAACTTGGGTCATTTTTCTTAGGTACCATGGTTAGCGTCAGTCTAAAGGATCAAGCAAACACTGTTTCTGTGACTCTACAAAATCCAAATATACCACCACAGTATCCACAACCGCAAAATAATCAACGAAATCACCCACTTCCACAGCAACACATTCAACAACCGCAAAGCATAGAATCAAATAAACCAGTTACAAATGAAACAAACAGTGGAGAGTCCAGAGATCAGAGTCCACCTCAAAATCACGTTAATGTGACTGATTCAGCTTTGGCAAACATGAAAGAAAAAACACCAATGTGCTTGTTGAATGAGTTAGCACGTTTTAATAAGATTCAGCATCAATATAGGTTGACTAATGAACAAGGACCAGCGCACAAGAAACGATTTACCGTAACGCTAAGATTGGGAGAAGAAGAATATGTTGCTGAAGGTCCTAGCATTAAAAAGGCTCAACATAGTGCTGCTACTGAAGCGTTAACAAAGACCTGGTATCAACGACCCCCACCAAAACCGACAAAGACAATGAGAGTTGGACATCCAGGAAAATTCAGTGGCCCAGGTAAATATATATATACTATATGTGTAGCAATTATAAGAATATAAATATTATGAAATCTTAAACTAATCTGTTCATTATAGGAAATTTGCCACCAACTGTCGAATTAAATGCTTTGGCTATGAAAAGAGGAGAAGCTACTGTCTATACTTTCAGACAAGCTCCACCAGCAGGATTACAACAATATGTTACAAATAGTTTAGGACACTTTCCTCGAATATTTAATCCACGTTTCCCTACATATAATCGTGGTTTCCATGCGGAACCTCAATTATATCTTGTATCTTTGAAGGTAAGAAAATAATAAATATTTCAATGTAATTGTACTTTTGATATACGTATTAATTTATAGGTAGGAGAACGTGAATTTATTGGTAGGGGTCTGACAGGTCAAGCAGCACGACATGATGCAGCAAGTAAAGCTCTAGAACAATTGCGCCAATTGCCATTACCGGAAGAAGTAACAAATACTTGTAACAGTGGCGAAAATGGTACATTAGGTGAAGTTAAAGATCCGATTGCAGAGTTGAAGAGCCCTGTGTCATTAGTTCACGAAAAAGCATTAAAACGTGGCTTACCTGTTAGTTTTGAAGTTATATCAGAAATTGGTAAGCCTCATATTCGGACATTCAGAACAAAATGTACTGTCGGAGATAAATTTACATTGGGAGAAGGACCTTCAAAGAAAGTAAGTTTTTTGTATTTAAACCTAACATACCTAAACCTATATACACTTTATATAAATTTCTTTTATAATAAAATAAAAAACATCTTGTATGATTTAATGTGTAGATATCAAAGAAACACGCAGCGGAGTTTATGTTAGAAGAACTCAATCGTCTACCTCCGTTGCCTGAAACTATTCAAAATCGCCTAGTACGTGTGAAGCGCAAACCACCGGCAACGAAGAAGAAGTCTCGAAATCTTATAAAAGTTTATCAAGAACCACGTTCTGAGTCTGACGCTGCAGAGGAAGTTAATCCGGTTTCACGATTGGATCAAATACAACAAGCTAAACGAGAAAAGGAACCTGTCTACAATCTGATTGAAGAAAAGGGTGCTCCGAGGCGAAAAGAATTCGTTATGGAAGTTACTATGGGACAACATTCTGCTCAAGGAATAGGTCCCAATAAAAAGTTAGCTAAGAGAGCTGCTGCAGAAGCTCTTTTAGCACAGTTAGGTTACAGTAAGCCTCAACCACAACCGACGAAGCCATCGATTAAAACAGGAGAAAGTGAAAATACCGAACAACAAAAACCTAGAAAAGTCACTTTCTTAGAAGATGAGCAAATTAATGAAACTCAACCTCATCCACCAGTAGGAGGTGAGACAGTACATACATAATGTATTTATTATGTATAAATTATGAATGGCAAAATTGAAATGTCACATTATTTATTCTGTATATTTTGAAAATTTTCTAACTGTAATCAGGAACTATTGGACGTCAGTTAGTACCTGGACTTTTATTAGTGGATGGAGGTCAAGAATCCAAATTAGGCAGCGGACCTAGCGTACAAATTGTTGCTGAAGAACTACGAGGACAACAGCAACAAAATCCACCCACTGTTTCTCCCAAAGATCAATTAAAATATTTGTCTCAGTTATTTAACTTCAGCGTGGAATTTAATGATTTTCCAAAGGTATATATAATTATTTTTTTATAATTATAATTGTACATTAATAAATAATATATATAATTGTATATAATATGAATTAATGGATTAATAATTAATTTTGTTTTTAGGGAGCAGTAAACAAAGAATATTTATCACTTGTAACATTAAGTACAGATCCACCACAAGTTTGTCATGGCAATGGGCCAACAAGAACTGCGAGCCGTAATCAAGCAGCATTGAAAGCTCTATGTACTTTAAGTAAGCTGGGTCTTGATAATACATCCAACTCGCAGACAAAAAAAGATAAAGGTGCGTCTGGGGATGGAATACATATTAGTATTCAAGTAAAAAATAATATGATGGATGGAACTATTGATAAGTAATTATATAGTATTTAAGACTTACATATAAGTTTAATTTACATTGCCCTTTTAAGGCATTGCAAAGGAAAATTAACTCGAGGACATTTCAGAAAGTCATTGATGAGAACAATATATCCGAAAACAAATTTTACAAAGCAAGTGATTTCATTGTAGGTTTAGTATTAATAGCAAATATTAATATTAAACCTTAAATCTTTTTGAATACCGTGATGAACTTTTTAAAATGATTGAATTCTCTTTATTAGATAGACAAACATTGTTTTGTTTCATTCTATTCATATGTGTTTCTACTATTTTTATTGTGTATCAGGAATGCAAGTTTTTATTTTTATTAATATGTATGTTGTTTTTATGTATTCTCTTTAAATTATTTTTTATATAGTATTAATCATGTGTTCTATTTTTATTAATATATTTACATATATTACAGTTATTGAATGAACTAATTGGAGGGAAAATGAGTCTTCTTGATCTATCTCTCTGGGCCTTATTGCACGGTAACTTCGATATTGAATCACCGATGACTCTTGATCTTCATACATAACGCCATTGCTTCTTTAACTTAATGCAGATTTCGAAGATCGCAGATTTTGAAGATCAGTAGCTTTTTATGAAGGATCAATCTTTTGCAGTGCCTTAATCGCATCAAAAAATTGCTCAAGCACCAATATATAAATAACATCCCCCTTTTTTTTTCTTTTCTTTTCTTCTTTAACTTATTAACGCCCACTTGAAATCTTAAATTATTATATTAAAATTTTATTATATTGATTATAATAATTATATTGAAATTTTATTGAAAAAATCTTATATGAAAGACGTGCATTTAAAAATTTGGTATGTTATTTTACTTGTTATGTTTTACTTATATATCTTCCAAAAAGTGATGATATTGTTATTGAAAGCAAAGTTATGCGATTATAATATTCGGTTAAAAGTACAACATACTTATCTGCAAAGATTTGATATTCATTTAAAATGATTAGTTTTTGGATGTTATACATTACAAAGACAAAATAATAAATGGAGAAACAATTTAAAATGCGATATTTGGAAATTTCATTGGCAAATAATATCGGGTGTATTTCTTTGAATATAGCGGGCGTTAATGAGTTAATGGAAACTGATCGTTTGCAGCAGCCTTTCTGCGACGATTATAAGTATGGTACAAAACGTAGGGCTTGCATAGTTACGTAAATGAGTATATATTATTATTTAAATCATGTTTTGTACGCTTAAACATATAATAAAGAGGTGTTATTGGTGCTTGATCAAGATTGTGATCTTAACAGTGGTTATTAATTCTATTATATTTATTATGATAATTTCATTGATAGGATCACAATCAAAAAACATAAATTGTTTAAATATGACAAATGAAATGGTCATTTTCCAGAGTCATGGTTTATGATCATGAAAGCATTGTAGAAACGTTAAGCGAAAAATATTAAAATCTGAGATGAAATGCGGCCATCTCCTAATTTCTTTATTTAATCCTTGGCTTTCTCATTCTTACGAATAAAATATCTGTTATGTCTTATTACCTACTACACATATAAACCAGTGAAACAATTTCATGAATTTTCATTTGTATTTATACTTAGATCGAAAAACGACTTCAATAAGGTCATCTTATTTTGTAGAAAAATTTTTCACCGTTTTGTTGAGCAAAGCGGAATTTTTCTTAATAATGGTTAATTTTGAAATTGTATATAACAACCAATACGAAGCAAGCTCATTTTTCAAAACGAGATTCGACAAGAAATCTTGAGGACTTATATGTATTAAGTGTCTCCAACTGAGAAATAAGTTATTATTAAGAATGCTTTATTAAATTAATATGATTTACAAAATTGAACACAAACAGATAAAAAAATGATAAAGATTTGGCGATTGGTTGGGGACTCTTTAAACGTACTCAGTTGTTCTACGAGTTTCCGTTTTCAAATTTGTAAAATTGAAGAAAGGTAATGTGATATATTCATATTATTGCCCCAATTTGCTTTTCTATGGGGCCTAGAAGCACTCTGGGGTTACATTCGTGTTTTACAAGATACTGAGAAGTAAAGGACATTCGAATTTTCATACATCCGTTATCTAAAGTAAAAGATGATCTGGATGTACTGGAAATTATAGATAAGATGGTAATAATTCAAAATTTGCCTCGTTGAGTCGTAATTATTATTGAAATGTGTTTGATTTAAATTTATCAAGAACCCGTATGAGACTATACTTTGAGAAACAACGTCGCCGAATTTTGTCTTATTGCCAGAAGTGTATAACGATACTAAGTTGGTGATGATATAAAGAATATCCAATAATGAATGAAGATAACGTCGAAAAATAGACTTCGTTCTATCTATATAAGATACTATGTTTCTTCTTCTGAAGACTTATCTTATATTCATTATTCTCATCATTTTACAGGTTTCTTAAATATTACGAACCCTGGAAAAAGAAAAAAAAAAAAGAAAAAGTAAAAAAAACATACACAAATGATTGTGAAATTTTAGTAACGTACTGATTACTTTTTCACAATACGTAATACACTTCGTATCACGTATAGGAGGATAAGAAGGAATACTTATTATTTACAATATTTTTTTCTTTCAGATAACCTTTCATAACGCGAAATTTTCTGAATAATTTATAGGTCACTCGAGGACGAGTTAATAAATGTTCCTTTTTCTGAGATATCGCTTCATAGGTGAGCCTTCCTTCTTCACGTGGGATTCAATGTTTTAAATAAAAGAGACAAGGGAAAAGAGTCGTGATAAACCTCTTTCGCATAGTTTTTTTTCAGTAAAAAAAAAAAGAGAGAAAGAATGAAAAAGAAAGAGAAACATGAATCCTACGAAAGTGTACCCCTATTGCAGGACCTATTTTATCCGCGTAAACTGTAATACAATAGTTAGTCGTAACAATAAGTGAATAAAGTATTAATACTAAGATGTATGAAGTGGAAGTATCTCTACGTAATACAAAGATAAATGTGATTCCGAGAGATAACGCGGATGTATTAGAATAAAAGGTCATATTCTAAATACTTTTATTTTACAAGTAACGGTTTTCTTTTAGATCTATAACTATTGGACAATTATACTATCGGCACGGAAGTTTACAACCTGACTATTATTAAACTGTAAATTATTTATACCGTAGTAACATACGTATTCGCTTTGTGTTTCAATCTATTGAAGAATAAATGCACAAAAATTTCCCTTTATTTTTAATATTTTCAACAATTGAAGTTATTTATTGTTTTCGTTTCGAATAATTGAAACATTAAGTGTATTTAAATCACGTATCGATAGTTAAAGTATTAATTTCAGTGGAAGTAGTTGGAAATGCGAATGATTCACCCAAAAATTTCTGTTGAAAAAAAATCTTCAATCGCCTATTAATTTAGTCTAATAATGCTGTACATGTTTATGTTAAAAGAATAATTAGAACATGCTCTTCTGACGATAGGAAACTGAGATCATGATGTGCGATTTATTGTTTTTAATGTTGTGGTATAGAAAATGAAAGTTGCGCTTAAAATAAATCAATTACTTTGTTTTTCTTATTCATTCCTTAAGAGAGTACAGTTGTAACATGTAACTTTCAGTAATATCGATCAAAAAAAAAAAAAAAAAAAAAAAAACGAAGTTAGAAGAAGTGAAAAGAAGTTAAGAAATAGATTATGACAGTAAAGATTTTACACTGATGAAATTTTTTATGGCGAAAAATCGTTGACTCCCTTTTAAAAAAATGATTGTTTAATACGTAGATATCTATTGCTTATTTCAACATTATCGGTTTGTATTTGACATCAATAAACGATTGTAAAAACGTTAAAATGCTTTATATTTTTGTTCTATGCAAATTTAATTTTAATGAATAAATGCGTGACAAGTCGTTTATATTTTAAATTTAAATGATCGATATTGAACGAGTGAAATCGATAAATTCGAGATAATCGATCAATTTCTGATGTCGCTGTAAATCTAACGGCAACATTGATCAAACACAAATATTATAGGTTATATTTGCCGCTAAAGTTATTTAGCAAATAAAATTTCACAAAGAAGATGTCGATTTAAACTAAAAACGCTTTTGTTGACTGAATGATGTTAAGTGTTATGCGGGAATTACTATTTCAAAAATAAAACCATTTAAAACATGTAACTTTTTAGTGAATCTCACGTCATAAAATGAAAGGTTAAGTTACTTATAAAAACGAAGCATTAAACTCTTTGAAATCTCCAGACGCATGTTTTCTAACAGGGAACATAACGGAAAGAATTTCTTTTAAAATTAACAAAGAAAAAACAAGCAATTGAACATGTTTAAAAATACCTTTCAAAGTGGATTTTTATCGATATTATATAGTATTGGTAGCAAACCATTACAAATTTGGGATAAAAAAGTAAGAAATGGACACATAAAACGAATTACAGACAATGATATACAAAGTTTAGTATTGGAAATATTGGGTAGCAATGTCAGTACTACATATATAACATGTCCAGCAGATCCCAGAAAAACTTTGGGTATAAAATTGCCATTTCTAGTGATGATAATTAAGAATTTAAAAAAATATTTTACGTTTGAAGTCCAGGTAAGAAAATATTTTATACACTGTTCTTGTTCAAAATGCAGTACCAAATGATCATATATTTGACCAAATGTTTGACTTTAGGTTATTGATGACAAGAATGTACGCCGTAGATTTCGTGCTAGTAATTATCAATCTACAACTAGAGTAAAACCTTTTATCTGTACAATGCCTATGAGGCTGGACGATGGATGGAATCAGATTCAGTTTAATTTAGCTGATTTTACTAGACGTGCATATGGAACAAATTACGTGGAAACATTAAGGGTACAAATTCATGCAAACTGTAGAATACGAAGAGTATACTTTTCTGATAGACTATACTCTGAAGATGAATTGCCAGCAGAATTTAAATTATTCTTGCCAATTCAAAATAAGGCAAAATGTTAATTTTATAACATTCTACAAAGATGTTTTGAAAAAAAGACAAGAATAAACCACAAATATTTATAAATTGATCAATATTGTGATTTTTATTTACAGTTGGTACTTATTTAATATACATATATTTAATATATTAATAAATTACTACATGTACTAAATGATAATGATTGATACTATTGTACAGATCATGTATGTTGTACAAATTATATTCAAAGATATAACTAAACAATCATAGCAATATGTGTATGAAATAGATCCGTTTACGTTTTTGCATAAAATTTATATTTAGTTTGCTTTAATTGTACTTCTTATTTAATAAAAATTATGAATTAATTAATTAGTTAATTAGTTACTCGTATCTTTTGTATGAAGTAAAATTTACTCTTATATTATCGAAATTTTTTATTAATTTATTAATTTATTAATAATCTTCCTGAAATTAAGCGTTCACGTTTTTTTAAGTGAATTTAAAATAATGTTTCGTCATGAAACATAACTAGAAAGAATGTTATAATATTTTGCAAAAATTTGTAGTCACTCGTATAATCTAAATATTAGTAATATATGAAAAATTAAGCGTTAAATAACAAGCAAATATATACGTACATTAAAAACTGTGGAAAACGAGATAGCAGTCGTATATACTTAGCAAGTGTATTAATTGCTAATTATTAAGTATTGATTTTTTTAAATGGGGACGTAGCATATCAAGGGGGAGGCTGCTCGTTCGCAAGTACCTGGAACTATTTTTCGTCGCGACAAAAACATCTACAGTCAACCCCTCCTATCTCAGGGCGTAGTAATACACAATCGGAAAATTGGCGGGAAAGTTCGGAAAAATTGTCATTAAATTTGTCGATGCGGCGCGACTTTCAAGAAATGTATCGATCGAGATCCATTGCCAGTGTGATGAAGTCACGACCCGATAAAACTGCACTGTATAAAACAACTCTGAGAGAACGTTCGCGGAGAAAATAAAAAATGTAAACGAATGAGTAAAAGAAGATGGCGGACCAATTAAGAGTACCGCGCTGATACATTTTATTCTTTATTTCTAGCAAAGGGTAACATTTTAGAAATACAAATCCACATATCTCGCGTCATATTTTTAATTCTCGCGTAAATAACGATCAAATGACGGTAAAATGCATCGTAATATCCCAATAGTAAATATAGTTTAATACGACCGGAATCCATAAATAAAACAATTGGTTATATACATATGTTTTTCAAATCGACGAATGCTATTATATATTTTGTATTGAGCACTCGTTTCGGGAGAGACGCCGACGCCCGGCGCCGACGTCGTTTTTAAAGCGTCAACGTTGTGCTGGAGTAATCTCACCCAATCCGGGAGACTCATAAGTAAAAAAAATCGTTAGAATAATCAACCCTCTCAGACACGCTGGCACGTCGTAAAGATGCATTGCTGAAAGTTTTATATCGAACGTTTCCGACGTTTTTCCATCAAGGTGCTAAGATAACGAAAGGGAGGGAAAATAAGCAATAAGCAATGAATTCAACATTGTGAAACGGGGCCGCGTGAATCATTTAACATAAATCATTTTTAAATCGTGCTTGTACATATAAATAGTGAGGAAAGAAAAAAAAAACATTTCCTTAGCGTGGTGATATATCGTCATATTTCCTTTTTTTTCTTTCTTTTTGAAATGGGTACGGCGGGTCGCGATTTCGAGCGCGATCGGGAGGACGAGATCCACTGTCGGATTTGTGCTAGTGACATACCAAGAAACGACGGGGTTCACATTTTCGCTGAGGATGGTAGACGGCACTACCTGCAGACCAAAATACGAAAATATCTCTACATCTTGGTAAGTCTTTCTTCACTCCGTGTGAATTAGCGCGATCGTCGTGTATGCGCGTTTACATGTATATGCATACACATGCACGTATACGCAGTTTCGTGTGCATAACTAACGTGTGTGCAGATTTTTTTTCGAAAACTCCACTTGGTACCCCGTTGCTGGATGTTTCGCGCTCAACCCCTTCTTGTACCCCGTTTTCTATACATACAAACAGACACACATGTACATTTATCGGGAGAAATTTGGATTGCTAAGGAACTTTGAAATTTTGTTAAAATGTCACGCGCCGATGCAAATTCGAAATATATGTTTTTGGACAGATAGGATATTAAAAAAAACAATGCATGTAAATTAATTAGCTCACATAAAAATTATTTATTAATTGTAATTTATTAATTAGAATAATTAACAAAAAATCGGATTTTCAGAACAGATTTCAAGCAAAACTAATATATTTTACGTATATTTATGTAAATTGATGTAAAAATTAACATAATTAATTCTGATACGTATACATTTAATTCAGAATAATCGAATGTCTATAATTAGGAAAATGGGAGAATCCATTTTGATGGGAACACAGAAGTGTTAAAAATTAGCATTTTATTGATTACAATAAGTATGCTATATGCACTATATAACTGGCGCATCCATAAATATAATTCTATTTGTATGATAATACAGAAATATTTTAATTCATAAATAATTCGCAGATTTTCCGTAAAAAAATATTTCTCTATAAAATATAAAATAAAATGTCAATACCAAAAAAACATTTTTATAACAAAAATAAATAATATTAATTATTAAAATAAAATTAAGGTTATTTTTTATTCAGAAAAATTATATGGCAAAAAATTTTATTACGTTTGAAACAAATAAAATATATTAATTTTATAAATTTTTTAAAATTAATATTTTATCAAAAATATTTTTCCATTTTTGATTCTTTTTTTTTATTTTTTTGATAATAAATAATTAAAAATATTAAATGTGGATTTTTGTCATTATTTCAATAATTTTTAATACTTTCATTAATTTTTAATCATTTTTTCTATATTTTATTCTTATGTTATATTAAGTAATTATTAAATTGTAATTATATTATGTTTCAGGTGTCTTCTGAAGATAAATTATCAAAAATGGTATGTGTTACATGCATTAAAAGATTAGAAAGCATTCATCGCTTTGCTATGATGGCATATAGAACACAGGAAAAGTTAAAATCACAATTATATAATAATAGTGGTGATACAAATACACAGGATATAGAAAGAGAAAGTGTCAAAGATATGCAAAATACAAGGAGGATAGAAGATCGGGGATTATTACATACAATATTAACAAAAGTATATTAAAATCATTCGTTTATGCTTAAATTATTTTATATATATATTAATTTAATGTTCAATATCTTTCAGGGGGCAATAGAAATTTTAGCTGAAGGTGAACCACTGGGACCATCAGAATTAATATCACAAGAAGATAAATGTCATACTCCAAGTATGGAAGAAATGGAAGTTAAAGTAGATCCAATGTTATTTTTACAGTATGGTATGGAGAATTCAGCATCAGAAACTTCAGAAGTATCTGATACAGAAGAAATAATAACGAGAATAAATTCCCCAGAACCATTACCATTAACAAATAAGTAAGAATATTTATATTAATATAGTTATAAGTATAGTATAGTATTTCTTTTTTTTTTTAATATTTGTGATTGCATTTATTTTCTATAGAACTGACGAAATAGAAAAGGAAAAGAAACAAGAGAGTAATGATAAGTCTCAAGAAGATGTTGAAGAATCTATTTCTAATGTGTCAAACAAACCTCATGAATGTACAATATGTGCTCGATCTTTTATATCTCAAATTGGTCTGCAGAATCATTTATGGTCTCATTTGCCTAAAGATAAACGACTTGATGGGAAGCCTATTTTAAGATCCCAACAAGTTTATTCTACTAATGGTATACTTCACATGAATACTGATAACAATTCATCTGGCAATTTTATTTGTCCAATTTGTAGCAAAAAAATTTCTACTAAAGGAAATCTAAAAGTACATTTGGAAACTCATCGGCCTAAAGGAAAATATGGTTGTGACATATGTGGTAGAATGTGAGTATATGAAAATGTGAGTTAAATTTAATTGGGCATCCAATAAAGCAACTATTAATAAAATGCTTATCCTATTTCAGCTTTAAAACACAGTCAAATTTATTCAGGCACAAAGAGTATCATGGTGGAATACAATTTCCATGCAATGTATGTGGAAGAGTTTATCCAACAAATTCTACTTTAAGAGCTCATAGTATAACTCACTCGGATTTGAGGCCGCACGCGTGCCCTCTTTGTGATAAAACTTTTAAAAGAAACCAAGATTTAAAGTTTCACATAAATCAACATACAGGTGCAAGGCCTTATCAATGTCCATATTGTCCGAAAGCTTTCGCGAGTTCTGGAAATTGTTTCTCGCATCGCAAAAGAATGCATCCTCGAGAAGTACATCGAGATAGACAAAGAGCAGCAGATTTAATGAGATGAACCATGGGTAGTCAATACGAGGAATGGTTTTAGAAAAATATAATAATTTACGATATTATCATATCCATGTGTATTAGCTATTACAATGGAAAAACATGAGCTTTAGTTTTGAATATTAATGGTGCTAATGCAAGGAGCAACGGAAGTTTTATATACTTTAATTGAATCGTTTGAACTTAGTGTTAGGTACTTATTGTTACTGACAAGCACTTAGTTGTTTGTTCTTATGGCGTAACTAGATCTTCATTACATAAAATAGAAACAAACAAATATATATTTTTCTTAATTTTTTAACTTATTGATGTTATTGAACTTGATATACTTCCATTGTTGTTGATATAAATTTAGTAATTATTATTTATTGACTCATATATAGTACAAGTAATAAGAACGATAGGTTTTAAACTGTCTAGTTAAAATAAGAAATTCATATTTTTTACTGGTTTATCTATATTTAACTTGTATACATTTTCTTCTTCATCTTTAAAGATAGAAGTTATACTTAGACCACCCTTGCTACCATTTTCTTAAAAAAAGAAAAAAAGATAATTTTAAATGTTTAAAAAATTATATATAAACCAAAATCTTATTTTATGTGACCATTGTTAATGATATAATATTGATCATTATTCAGTCAAGATACAGTATTATTTAAAATAAATAATTTTCAACTGACCCATCGGTAATAAGCACAATAAAGTATTAAGCTTTAAAATTAGGATTAAAAGTATTTCTTATAATTTGTATAAAAAAATTGACTAGCAAAAGAAATTTAGCAAATGTAAGATAACTGTGATTTTTTACAAATCAGTAGTATATTAGAAAATTCATGTCCGATGGGTTTAAGTATTATACATTGGTTTAGTATTATACATGGGTTTAAGTATTATACACATTGAATATTGTAGTTATAAAACAAAATAATAGTAATAACGTGACTACTTTCAGTACGCTCAAAATTTGGTCTCTCATGAAGTGTAATTTTTTTTAATACTTAAATACAAATAAGAAATTTGTAATATTTTTTGAAACCTTGAACGGGTACTCTGTATATTGTATGTGATATTTTTAAGCAACGTATACTTAGTATATTTTGAAGAGACAAAAGGTACAAAGGGTTGGACGTTGAAATTATTTGATATTTATTTTACGATTGTTATGTCACCAAGAGAACGATTTTATTTTATTTTTATGAATAACATAAATGGATTTGAATGGTGACAAACGTTCTAAAAAATGGAACGTATTATTTTGTCCATATAAAAAAGAGCTGTTTAACGATATTTGATAAAATATTTATATTTACGACGAAATTACTAAAAAATGACCAAAGACGAAAAAAAGAAAAAAAAAAACGAAAACATTGTTCGAGAAAGAAAGAAGTAGGAAAATTTTTGTAGTTTCGAGGCATATTTTTAGCACAATACACGAACAACATCATCATTAAGTAACGTTAAGACTGTATACGAAATTCTGTGTCAAATTAGAGTAATTACGTAAATGTAAGCGGTTAGTATCCAAATGTCAATGGTTGTATGTGACGAAAGATGAGTCTAGTTTATTCAAAATGCATTATTAAGTATAATGAATAACGTAGAGGCTGTAGCTAACGTTACAAACGATCATAATGTTATTCTTTTAAGCAGATATACGATTAAAGAAAAGTAAATGTTAACTAAAGTCTGAGTAGCTTTTAGGAAACTTTAGATAAGAGTTTTTAGAGAAGAAATGTAAATGTAGGGGATCATACCTGCTTCCATATGTATCGTATACATCGCACATGTGTTAGATAGTTCAAAAAAAGGGGGGGAAGGGATGTTTGATAATGGACAGTCACAGAAAAATGTACGACGATCATTGCGTAATTAAGAAGTAGTACTTACAGACAGAAAATACCAAGTGTAATCGCGTTGCTACATTAGTGTAGTAGGGTGGCCAAGCTTCCGTTTCAATGAAAATAAAATGGACCAAAGAAGAGTGGTATAATGTTATAATTAATATGTTGAACTATTTAATTTAAAACAAATTCCAATATCTTTTATATTTACATTTAGTTTACGAAATTATTTCTTAAGCCAAATGATATTTAGAAGTATGTAAAAGTAAATATACTCATATTTTATACATAAAAAAAATATTCGATAACGCGAAAGCTTTAACGAACGGCCACCCTAGCTTATTTAGAGATACAATCGTATATTTTGCAATTACATTTTTGCGGACGCTTGCCAGTTACGTAGTTAAGTAGACAAAGATTATTGGATAATTATATATCCGCGAAAATAATCCATTTTTGATAGAAAAAGTAAAAAAAGGAAAGAGTAAAGCGACGATCTCGTTTTCATGGCTCAATTTTTACACCTAGTTCTTGGAGCAGGGATGAGCAAATCATCTTCGTTTCTTCCGGATTTCGTTTTAATCCTAATACTGCCAAATACATTGCTTCCGGAAAATGTCCTAGTTGTTGATAATATTAAAAAGTATATTATTATTAAGTTTGAAAGCGATTCTCGTCTTAGTTGTTAGCGTTAGTTATTAGTCTTAAGTAGATTTGCTCAGCTCTTGCTATGAGGAGTCAAAAATTGAGTATTTTTCTAAAGTCCACGTAACATGGAGGCGAATAGCGTTTAAAATTAGCGATTAAAACAATATCTCAGAAGTGCCAGTAACGCAGTGAACTAACGTAGTGTATTCCGGCAGACAAATATTGAATAATTATATGTAGAGTATGTCGAGATTTGTGACACTTAATAAAATGATTGTATAAAAAGTTCGGCTAGAAATACTTATACTTTCATTTCGTTATTTCCACGGTTCGTTCATCATTTTTCTTCCATGTCCGTTCGTTTCATTTTTTTACCTCGTCTGTTATATAAAAATAATCATCCGGTAAACTCAGGCATCAGGCGTTGTAACTTTATTGTGTCTAGATCTACTGTGGAAAATTTATCTATTTTTAATTTAACGCTGTATCTTACATCCCAGATAATGTATTATACAAGATTTTCTTATTTCTTCCTCTTCATATTTCACATATGCTGAATGTGCGCTTTCCTTGCACGATATGTACTTATTTACATTTTCTGTCATAGTACAAGATTGCGATGATCAGTCACGTTGCTGCCTGGAAATATCAAAGACGTAAATAACACGTCATCGTAAGAATATTGCGAGTGTGTATTAGATTTCGTATATTCGAGCGAATAAAATTTAATCGGAAACACGGTAGAATTGTTATATAATCGTAGCAAATATACGGAAATGGTAAAATTCTCCTATTTCTAGTATCTCCTATTTCTAGTTAGATTCGTGTATACTCCGGTATATACTCACCACGTAACCACTTTCATTCGTTAGCCTGACCTTTTGGCCTCTTGTACTGCCATATACATATATATAAGAGCATAAGAACAAGACGTGACTCAGCGCTCGAATTAAATTGTCATTAATGTCTATTCTCTCCCTCTCGTATCAATTAGACAAACACTAAAAAATCAACCAGAAATTGCTGGTTTCAACTATAGTAGCACAATGTTACAAAGAGAAACTTCAGAGATTATTCAGATATCGAAACAAAAATTCCTACAATATGTGAATGCTGATAGCAGAGAAAAATTAATGCTTATACTGATAAGATAAGACTGAAACAACGATTTTATGACGGATACAAATCATGTTAGCATAGTTTAATTGACAGAGTTAAATAAGTCAAACGCTTCAAATTTGTTTACTTCGATTTCAATACAATGCCGAGATGAACGTTTAAAAATCAAGCAGCTTGCAAAAGCTTTATGATCAGACGTTATCAAGCACCTATGCAATAGATCATTGTTAAGGTTTCTTGCATGTTCGATTCCTAATAAAAGCTTGCGCGTAATGGAAGATTAATGTTACAAAACTATTTAATAGAGTTGAGACAGAGCAAAGATGTTGCAAGCTTTTATTTCCTTTTCCTCTACGATCGCGCCAGTCATGATGCTATACGCGTTGAGACATTTCTTACGTATGGAAAAATTACTCTATTCAATGGAGAACGTACAGTTTTGATAAATTCATCGAAACATTGCATCAATCTTCTCGATCATTTTACAAAAATATATTTCAAACGTAATTCAATTTTATCTCGCATTAAAAATATAAAGAAATTTATCAAGAAATAAATATCTTTTATTTAAATTATTTATTTCATAATCACGGTTTTTTTTCCTTTTTTTTTACAGAAAGTGTTTACTTCTTTTGACAAGAAGACTAGGATGAATTCGTTAAAAAAGGATGTGTTCGATGTATTGTTACATGAAAGTTGTTTGATCGAAGTAAACACGGAGGAACAATTTATGATTCGTTGCACGAATATGTACATATACGTACGTACGTATCGCATGTATAAAATGGCAAGAACTACGATGTTACAGCCAAGCGATAGAAGTTGAGGAGCAATTAAATTGATGGATATGAAAGGAATCCAAATTTAATATTACATCATAGTGCACGCGATCGAGGCGTTTGTTTCAAAGTTTCACGTTAATTTTCGGTGTTTAAAAAGAAGTTTCTCATCAAAGAATGAGTAGCTGCAATGCTGTATCATTACGACGAAGGTCATTGTGTATGGACATGTTGCCCCTAACGATAGGTCCGTGTTTAATCGAAGGATGCTCCAATCGCCACAAGTCTCGTGCTATAATTGTACTTCCCGTGGCATGACACCATTAACTCCAATTCTATGTTTAAGACAAGGAAAAGAATGCAATAAAAACGGGAAAAGTCTATCCAGTAAGTCGTATCCGACAAATAAAAAAAACTTACCAACAGGAGTGGTGCTACATCTATCTACTCCTTTAACCTGGCCAATTAGAGGAGTATTGAAAATAGCTATTTATTTGGTACAATATTAGAAAAAAATTGCAAATGATAATCTCTAAACATTCTGATACTTTCCTTTGAGTGGAATGATATTTTTAAAATCATGACCATGAAAAAGAAATTACATCTCATGCTTTATTTGCAAAGAACGTAATTTGAATGTGAAGAATATTGCTCCTGTCTTTTCTCTTTTATATAATGGATATTAAAAAACTAAAGTTAAAATATTTCCTAGATAAATTGATAATACCTTTTCGTGCAGAATTACGACCACAATCGCTTAATTTAAACAAAAATATGTGATTACATTAAAAAAAGAACAAACTTAAACATCAGATATTTTCTGTGCATTCTCTTATGAAGAAATCACATTAAATTATCACGTGTTTCTAAACCATGCCTTTCCTGATATTCAGATCGTATTTTCTTCGAGTAACCATTGAGTAAAATTATTATCTTCGTAATACTCGGAATAGTTCCAGTTATATATGTATAACTCTACCTGATGTATATTGTGTAATATACATTATATAACAAATGAACAAACTTTTTTTCAATTACTTGACTTATAATATATAACAATCATTTTGCTACGTAAGTGGAAATTTGTATAATTGCAAAATAATTGTTGTTATCTGAATTCTACAATTATAACGTATAATTTGTAAATTTACTAATATTATTAGTTGATAACTTGTAGTACAAAAGGGCTCTGGTCATCACCATCAAATAGAAGCTTTTAATTATAAATATTATACCTTTTATACAGTTTGGAATCATTCGTACACGAGTTTCATTGGACGTGTTGCATCTAGTACGTACGAACGATTATATACACTTGTTTGTATACAGATAACAAATTGCAAAATGCGCATAATGAGTATATTTAATATTTAATATTAATTTAAGTTACATCACGATTGTAGCGCATTTGCACTGACTTCAGTAGTACCGTAGAGCGGTTAAGTCGGGCCATGTAAATACATTCAACTTGTTCTGGACTGGCGCATATTTGAAATTCCTTATTTGAATTTTAATCGAACGATCATAATTTAGGCCCATTTAGATACATTTAGATCAACTTACGAAAAGTTGTTTACAAATGATGAATCATATTTTTGACTGTGATGCTTTCCGAAATAACGTTCGTCCGAAATTTTCAATAAACAAGTTGATCGTACATTGTAATCGACACGGTAAAGAAAGGATGAAAGAACAAGGAAACGAATTCAATGATAACGTAGAGGAAATTCGTAACTCTTTTCCCGTGCGTTTACACGCGTATCGCATGAAAGTGACAACCTGATTTCTATTTATTTCTTAAGAAGAGCTTTTACTATTGGTGGAAATGGCGGAATAACAAGTTGCGTCGTTCGTAACGTCCTTCAAACGTTCCTATCGATTCTGAGAATACGCGGAGCGTATAATACGGAGTTCACCGTCGAAACATGCTAGTTCGTCGGTAACGGTGCTTGACCGTTGTCATTCAGTGAATAGTGTAACGTTTTTTATCAAAAAATAAAGTTACCTCGCAGTCGTTTCTTTCTTTTTTTTTCCGTTCTTTCAACCACAGCGCAGTTAAGTTAGCTTGCTCAAATTTCGAAAAAAAAATGTCAGATAACGAGAATAAATCATGCTGTCATACACGTCAAAATTGTGTTGTACAACCACTTTTAACAGGTACTTGTTTGCAATTTTTATCAATTGCAAGGAACAATGTTGAAGAAAATAACCTCAAAACACAATCCATTTTGTCTTATCGTTTACTTAATAGATGTATCAAGTGACGATACAGCACGTGGTACTTTAAAATATGAGAATAGAACGCACGAATAGAACACGATAATTTTCCATGGAAAATTTTTTCAATCTTTTTCCTTCAAGAATTGAAACATCTTGATCATTAAATAATTCTTTTACTTTATGTAATTATTAAAAATATTTTTTTTACATAAGATTGCTTTGCATATAGTTGATCGTTATTTATTATGATACATGTATTTTGTATGTGCAATGTCCTTTGTATAATGCATATATCAAAACAAATAATGTTCACTTGTACTTTCACTTTTTTAGACTTGTACCAAATTACAATGGCATATGCTTATTGGAAAAGTGAAAAAATGAATGACCATGCTGTATTTGATTTATTTTTTCGTAAAAATCCTTTTCAAGGAGAATTCACAATTTTTGCTGGACTAGAAGAATGTATTAAATTTCTAGAGAAGTTTCATTATTCCTCCAGTGGTATGCATTTACTTTTGAATACTATATCGAATATAAATTTGTAAATTGAAAAAATTCTTTGATGTTTGTAATTATAATATTAAAATTATACAGATATTAAATACTTAAAGTCAACAATGCCATCATCAGTTGATCAAAGATTTTTTGAATATTTGAAAGATCTGACTCCAAAAGATGTGACAATATATGCTATGGAAGAAGGTTCAGTTGTTTTCCCAAGGTTAGTTAAAAACTCTTTGAAAGTTGCATGCATCATACAGATAATACTCAGTTATGTTAACCATCATCATCGTTGTCATCGTTTAGGAAACTTTTTCTTGCTCTTATGACAGCAGTTAGAGTTAATGTTCGAATGCTTATCAACATTACATATTTGATGAAACATCAAATCTTAATAAGTTAAAACTTCAATACAAATTGATATGTTATGCAGAATACCATTACTAAGAGTAGAAGGTCCATTAATAATGGTACAACTTTTGGAAACAACACTGTTAACATTAGTTAACTATGCAAGTTTAATGGCAACTAATGCAGCCAGATTTCGTATGTTTGCTGGGAAAAATATAACATTACTAGAATTTGGCCTTCGAAGAGCTCAGGGTCCTGATGGTGGTTTAAGTGCCTCGAAATATAGCTATATTGGTAAATATTTTCTGTGTTTTTATTTTCTTTTATTTCAGTTAAACAATCACAATTTAATGATTAATCAAATTATTTTTTTTTAAATCATACAAAATATTTTGTATATTGTTTGCTTAAAAAAATTCGTACCTACAATAACATTTTTTTCTTTTTTCTTTAAATTAATTGCGATGAAAAATATATAGAATATATTATATAATAAAAAATTAATATTTTCCAGGTGGTTTTGATGGTACGAGTAATGTCTTAGCAGGAAAACTTTACAATATTCCTGTAACTGGAACACATGCACATTCATACATCACATCTTTTACTAGTATTGATGATTTACAAGAAAAGGTATGCTCACATTATTGTTAAATAATTTATTTGACTAAAACTATATTTCATTTTACTATTTTATATTTTTTTTCAGACTTTGACACATAAAGAAACAGGACAAGTTTGTAATCTTCTGGAATTAGCTTGCAAACATCGGAATTCCGTTGCAGCTGATGTAGGAACATTAGTTTCTGAGGCTTCTAATGGAGAATTAGCTGCTTTAATTAGTTATGCCATTGCTTTTCCACAGCGGTTTGTTGCCCTTGTAGATACATATGACGTGAAAAGGTATGATATTTTGCTAATCTTATCTATATCTGTTTTATTTCTTTTAGTGCATTCAGAATTTCTTGATACTTGTGTATATATTTCATTATTTGCATGTACACATTCAAACTTTTCTATGTTAGCTAATCAATCTATTGAATATTATTCTCTTTAATAATTTATTTGTAGAAACTCTTACTTGTAAGCTTGTAGTACTTGATTCAAAAATATTAATATTCATATTCTTTTAATATGCATGAATATAAAATAGTGAAGAAAATAGACAACTAAAAATAGTTAACAAAAATATATATAATAAATTAAATATATAAATATTTATTACTTATGGTATGAGTAGTTCTAAAATAACTTTATGAAACATATAAAATTACATCTATATATATATATATATATATATATATATATATCTAAATTAAATCTATAAGAATGAAAAATAATAAATTTTGTAAAATTTTCTGAAAAAAAAAGAAAAAAAATATATTAGAAAAATATTTCAAATATTTTGCTACTAATTTTTACTTTTGACTAAAAATATACTTAATTGAGTTTGATATCTATATTAGTAATTCTAATTACGAATTCACAAAGCAGGCATGATGAAACATATACACACTGTAGCCTAACAGGAGTGTGTTTATAGCATCGAATCCTCGGCCAAGAGACAGGCATGTATAGCCAGCCTAAATGTAAAGAATAAATGCCTAACAAATGGGTCCAATACACATGCCCAAAATGGTGTCAGAAACAGTCCAATTATATCAGAATCGACTTCATATGACAAGAATGGCTTTTTAAATCAAGGCGAATTGGGTGAGCTCTATGTGAGGTACGATATTATCCTCTTTGTCTGCTTTGCAGAATAAATCATCATATTTTTTCATGTATCAAGTACAGTTAATCATTTCAAATTCGTTTCATGAATAATAAGTATATATTAAGAGAATCTTTATTTAACATTATTTATTTATTATTTACTTTGTTAGATTGTAAATTATTGTATTTAATTATTATTTATTGATAATTCTGAATTAAAATTATTTAATGCATTCAACTATATTGCAAATGCAATATTACTGTATTCAATTTAAGATAAAAAAAAATATAATTCTGTAAAGCGGGCAAATCTATAAATCGTTGCTTCATTCTTTTTTTTCGTAAAACAGTAATAAAGGATCTCGGAAATTGTAAGTTTATACAAAATTTTGTGAATTATGTACGACCTTATATAGTACCCTTCCCAATTCAGCCATGTAAAAAAATAACAATTAACTGTTTGAATCGTATTAATAATAAAATGTTAGCTTTAAGAATTTAGTCTGCAGTAAAAATCGTAAAAAAAAAAAAAAAATAAAGTAAAGTAAAAGAACTACTCTATTAACACAAAATTTAATTTTCTGTTGTGTTGCAATCAATACATTCTTAAAATTGATAGCTTGCATGTAATGTAATAATTCATATTTTGTTTGCATATCTTGTTACTCATAAGACCATTAAAAATATCATATATTTTCATTTCACGCTTTTCAGTATTAATAATGATAGATTTTACTGTTTGAAAAAACTGTACAATGTGTGTATATTTTTCATAAAATATAAAATAATTGTGTGTATATTGCATTTCAGTAAAATGTAAATGCATGTATAACTGATAATGCTTTTTCCACTTTTTTACGATTATATTTTTTATATGCATAATTTATAAGTAAATTTTTTACTTAGGAGTGGACTCCTAAACTTTTGTGCAGTGGCACTAGCTTTAAATGACTTGGGTTATAAAGCAATTGGTATAAGAATTGATAGCGGCGATTTAGCATATTTAAGTAATACAGCAAGAGATATTTTCGAAAGAATTGCCATTAAATATAATATACCTTGGTTTGCAAAATTAACAATATGTGCGACAAATGATATTAACGAAGAAACTATTCTAAGTTTAAACGAACAGGTAAACAAATATACATTAAAAATATTCCATTTTACAACAAATTTTTATTATAAACAATGTTTTTTTTAATAGAATCATAAGATCGATTGTTTTGGAATTGGAACGCATTTGGTAACATGTCAAAGACAACCAGCATTAGGCTGCGTTTATAAAATGGTAGAAATTAATGGTCAACCTAGAATTAAACTTAGCCAGGAAGTTGATAAAGTAACAATACCGGGAAAAAAAGATGCATTCAGATTATACGGAGCGGATGGATATGCTTTGATCGATTTATTACAAAGATCAACGGAAGAGATTCCACAAGTAAAACATAAAGTTCTTTGCAGGCATCCTTTTCAAGAATCGAAGAGAGCTTATGTTATTCCATCACGAGTGGAATCATTGCATAAGGTAAATTAATAAAGTATCAACATTGAATACAATGATTTATAATACTTTCTTTACAAACATTTAGGTATATTGGAAAAATGGTAAATTATGTCAACCTTTACCTACATTACAAGAAATACGAAATAGAGTTCAAGAGTCATTAAAAACACTCAGAAATGATCACAAAAGAAATTTAAATCCTACACCATATAAAGTAAGTTTCAATATGTATTTTTGATTTATGAAATATTTCTCTATTAATATATACTAATATATAATAAACTAATTGAAAATATTTATGACAAGTGCAAATAATTATGACGATTTATATAGGTGGCTGTTAGTGATGATTTGTATAATTTTATACATGATTTGTGGTTACAAAATGCACCCATTGGTGAACTTTCGTGAAGTTGTAAATACATTATCATTATCAAAGAATAATGAACAAAGACCATGTACTTACTTAAATGGCCTACCAACACATTAAGCTGGAGGTTCAAGTTCTAGTTGTACAAGCATTTTGTTATAGTAGTATATTTTGATAACTTATAAAAATCATATTATGATATATTTATATAGTTTTACAAACTTATCTTTAGAACACAGAGTTCCATCATAAAATGATTGATGGTATAAAACTATTAGACACTCTTAGTTACTTTTGTTTTTTAAAATAATATGAAACGGGTGAACTTGGATTAATAATGCACAATTTATAGGGTAATTCACATGTAAACAAAAAAGATTGAATGTACATATAATACAACAAAAATTATAAAATCGGTAATGTAAATTAAGTGTAAATAATCATTGATATTTCTAAAATTTCTTTTTATATACTATTATTATTAATTGATAATATTTTCTATGTTTTCTAGTTCAAAAAGATTACATTTTTTTTTTTTTTTTTTTTTTTGTAAAAAAAAAAAAAAAAAGAAATGTTATTGTCGTTAAAAGACACGGAATTCTTAAGAAAAAATCGAC